CAATCTCCCGACAACGCCTGTGCACCTACACGCGCTCTGTCATGGGAGCGCCGGGCAGAATGGCGTCGGCCGTTGCATGACGAGCAAGACCAGAAGGACGTCGATGGGGACGCTAGACAGTCGAGGCAGCATTGCGGGCAGTGAGGGGCGACCCTCCTCAGAAGGACGGGCACGGGGGGAAAGCGGAGTGCAGAAAAACGGCTGCCACGCCGCGTGCTAAGAGCAATGCAACATAAACGCGCCTCCCCGTTACTTGCCCTTCCGTTACCTTCCAACCGAGATGCGTGGCTCTCGTCTGCTGTCCGACACCGTAGCCAGGCCACGACGGTGAAGTCTTGAGAGAGAGAGAGAGACGACTTGACCACTTCGATGAGTAGGGAGCTCAGGGGCTGCGAAGATCAATAAAAGTCTTCGCAGTGAAAGAGACATCCGTTTTTACCACATGCCACTTCGCGCACAGAGGGCAAGAAGCGCAGGGTCCGTTACACAAAGACGCTGGGTCCGTCCTGGGGAGGCTGCATAAAGAAGGCACTGCGACCGAATATGTCGCTAAGACTACAGAATATGCATGCCATAAGAAGAACATCATGATCGTGCTGACTGTTGGACGAACGTTACGCTCAAGTCTTGCAACCCCTCGCCGAAAGGGGGGGGATGCAAATGGTCTCCTCCAACTCCGCCTCCTTACCGCTTCTGCCCGCCCGCTATACAAAAGTTATCTCCTCCTCTCCTCCTCCTCCTCCTCCTCCTCCTCCTCCTCTTCCTCCTCGTCCTCCTCCTCCTCCTCCTCATCCACCTCCAATCCTCATTTTCCTCTTTTACTCTCTCTTCTACAGGGCATGCCAACTTGATTAACAACATGCCGATCAAAAACAACACGACACCAGATCCGGTCCAGGGCGCATCCGTGCTCCAAACCCAGAAGGGCACTGGCACAGATCCTTTGACGCAGACAGTCGTTCAGCCTTACCAGTCTTCAGAGTGTGACAGCTGTCGTCTGCCCATCGGAGGGGCATGAAGGAGTCGCAGGAGGATATGAAGACACATCACAAGATGCGCACATAGGGAGATATACCAGAGAAAGAGAGAGAGAGAGAGAGGAAGAGAGAGAGAGAGAGAAAACTGGAAACACAGGGACGATGAGGCCAACTACTAAGAATGGCACTGGAAACAGCAAGGGGAGATTTTTCCTCCGAATTACCATCCTCCTCCTCCATCAGCCATCCCCCACCATGATTCCCCATCCCTCCTCAGACATCCTGCCCCTCCTCCTCCTCCTCCTCCTCCTCCTCCTCCTCCTCCTCCTCCTCATCCTCCTCCCCGTCCTCCTCCTCCTCCTCCTCCTCCTGCCGCCTCCTCCTCCTTACTCCTCCTCCTCCTCCCCTCCTCCTCCTCCTCCTCTCCACTGCCTCCCCCTCCTCTCCTCCTCCTCCTCCTCCTCATCTCCACCTCCTCATCCTCCCCATGCCCCGTTCTCACCCCGACCTATTGCTCTCATCCTCCCCTCCACCTCCTACCTCCTTTTTCTTCCTCCTCCTCCCTCCTCTCGCACTCCCCTTCCTGTCCATATCTGGAGCCGGGCGCGAGTATGTAGACGGGCCCTGTCGCGGCCTGGTCCCCGGCCAAGCGCCGAGCTTTGACGCCCAGAGATCGCTACATACGTGGTGGCGGAAGCCCCTGAAGTCCGGGCGGCCCAGGCCGGACGGAGAAATGGGAAATGGGAATTAGGGAGAGATAACGCGCCTGGTGCGAGGGCTTCCCGCCTGGCCTGCCGCCTCTGCCGAAGGTCTCCGCGCGCGCGCGCGCCCGTCTCTGAGGAGGGCACCGCGGTCGATTGGCCACCCGGGGGGCCCTGGGGGAGGGGGGGGAAGGAGGAGGAGGATGAGGAGGAGGGGGAAGAGGAAGAGGAGGATGAGGAGGAGGAGGAGGAGGAAGAGGAGGAGCAGGAGGAGGAGGTGGAGGAGGAGGAGAAGAAGAAGAAGAAAACGAGGAGGAAAACGGGGAGGAGGAAGACGAGGAGAAAAAGGAGGAGGAGGAGGAGGAAGAGGAAGGGAAAGACGAAGGGACGGAGGCAAGAGGAGGAGGGAGGAGGAGGGTGGGGCACGCATCGTCCTCCACCCGAAGGATCTTCGGGCCACGTTGTTCGTGAGTTCGCTTGCCGCCCTGTGCGGCCTCCCGCCTGGATGATCGGCCGATGGTTCCGAGCCACGAGGCAGGTGTCCGCGACCTGCCGTGGTGGGTGCGCGGAAACCCTGTGCAGGCGAAGGTCACCTGGGCCACGCCCAACACTTGCACGCCTGGCAGACACACGCACACACACCAAAGAGTTGTCGGAACAGTCCGAGGTCCGACAAACCTGACCCAGTGCCGAGAGAACGCTGAACTGAATCTTGCATTGCCTTGAGCAAACCTCGGGGAAAGGCACGGCCATGCTGCCGAACTCGTTGACCTGGCCGCGATCACCCCCCCTCTTGTGTCCGGCGAATGCATTACCAAAGCCCGCCCCAGCTTTCTAGATCACCCGTGCACGTGTCCACGCGGCGGAGGCCCATTCACGGAGCGAACGCGCGTCACCCCGTCAAAGCCGAGGCGAGGCCGAGGGGGGAGCACTTTAGCAGCCAGGCTAGCAACGGCCCGGGCACCATGGACAGAGAGCGGCTTGGCGTCCCTCACATCGGGAGCTAGCCGGGCGCGGTGGGCCACCCCTCTCTTGGCGGTGGCATTCGCGGAGACAGTTCCCGACGTGCAGAAAACATATTCCTTCCACCTGATCAACCTCTTCGTTGAGTCTTGCTGCGCCTTGGTATTGGACAAACTAGCACGCGCGCCCCTCTGAGTCAACGCCCGGAGCGGAATGCCGCTGGGGGCCAACTTGTGGCTGACCGTGTCTGCGAAGGATGGCGCGTTCAACCTTCAGGCAGTCCGTGCGAGAATTACAAGGGCACCCAGCCAGGGGAGCCGCACCCCCCAACGCAGAGCACTCCTCACCTCGGCTGGATCGAGGGGGGAGGGCTCCAAGCAGGCGCTGAAACATCGCGAACGAGCGACGTGTCGGGGCGGATCACGGGGGCACCCCACGCCGCGCGCGCGCCAGCTCTCTGACAAGACTCTGCGGGCAAGAGCCGTCGAGAAGGACGCGACCTTCAAATCCACGCCCCATGCGACCACGGTCGCCATTCCACTCGACGCGCGCGCCCTCGTCGGCGAAGGGGGGGGGGGGGGGGGGCCAGGGCGCCGAAAGAGCCCCCCCCCCACCCCCATGGTGAGAAGAGGCAAGCGAACCTCGGTGCCCCTACCAAAGCTTCAAGATCCAGGGCCCCGCGAATGATTTGCGCCCGAAGTCGCACGAGCTGCGCTGCAAAACGCTGCGGGAAAGAAAGAATCAGACACTCCGCGCAGATCGTAATCCAGACTCGAGTGGCACCGACCCCTGATCCAGGAGGCCCCGCGCAGCCGCTTCTTCTGAGGAGCTCCATGAAGAGACCAGGGAACGTAGCCGACAAAGATATGCCCTGATCCAAGTCGCGAGAGAAAACACACGGGTGATTCGTGGCCGAATCGGCCCTGGAACGCGCAAGATGCGTCGATCCGGTAGGTCCACCAATTTTCTTTCCTCCACGGAAGATTATCTGGGTGCCCTGGCCTTGCCCTGAGTGTCGTCGACGCCTAGGTCGGCGACCCCCGTCGCGATGGGCCTCGCAAGTGCACCGATGACTTCGATTACTCCCTCTGTAACCTTCGTAGAAGGCAACATTTGGTGGTAGACAAACCTCCCTTTAGTCAACCACCCTTTAATGAAAAAGGCCTAAGGCCCAACAGACGGACCTGGACCCGCCAAAATGACGGCCGCGACGACCTCTCGCGAACCGAATGCGGCCAAATTCGCTGATCGACGTGTCAGGGTAGGAAGTCGATCATCCTCCGAAACGTCAGGCAGGCCTCGTCAGCTGAAACACCACTTGTGCAAGGGGCCCAGGGACGCACGCAAATAAAGCGCACAAGTCAAAGGATTCCCCCTATGTTTCCATATGTTGCGGGGTTTCGCCTTCCCCCCACTTCGCATGTGTTCACCGATTTTCGAAGGGAATCGACAATTGTGTCTGCGTGCTTTGTCCCTACTGAACTCCTGCGACCGATCCAGGGAGAGCGCCCGCGAGCGAGGGCGAGGGCCCCGCCGAAGGGGGCGGCCTGGGCGCAGCGGTCGCATCGCGCTTCGCCGCCTCGTCGGACCTGCACAACTGATGGCGCAATCGTCGATTCAGGCATCTAACGTCATGATGCTCCAACCTACTTTAGCCTCGATCACCAGGAAGAACTTCGAGCACCAAGAGAGCACCGGAAACCGAAGGTTTTCACGTGCCGGCCCCTGGGGGACACTCGTTCAGCACTGTTTCGGCACTGTTTCGGCAAATGTTCGACGCTTTTCCGGCTGCTCGGAGTTGTTTGTGGGATCTGGTCCTTAAGTACGATGGGGGCAGGTCAAATCTAGCGCGATAGAGCGTGGGAGATAAAGGCGGCCCAAATCCAGGACTAGAGAGACCCGGCTGTCGCGGCGGAGCAGCCAGCGACGACCCCCTTCTCGGCCGACTGCGGCGCGCTGACAGCGCCCTTCACCGCCGCGAAACAAGCGCGCCGGCAACCGCGAACTTCACCGAAAACCTGAGAATGGAAACCAACTAACTCTCGGACAGCGGCCAGAAAGGATCTCCAAATCAGGCAACTCGAGACAGGACGAATATCCCGGAAGACACCGGCAGACGCCTCCGAAGACGCCGCGCCCCCCTCGGACTTCAGGCCCTGCCCTCAAACCACATCCGAATAATATTTGCAACGATCAAAGTGAACTGAGGTCTGATCCAGGCGGCCTTCCGCACCTCGGCCACGCGACGACGAGCACGCCCCAGAAGCCAACAACATAGAACGACGAGGCCCGTCGGCCTGAAGCCACCAGGAGCATGGGTCCGCACATCCAGAAGCACGGCGCGCACCTGGGTCGGCAAAGCTGACGACCCCTCCCACTGCTGGCGCCTGGTCTGCGCGCCAGTCGACGACCGCCCTGAACGTCTCCACGCTGTTCTCATGCACCCTGAACAGGCACGAGCACTTCGTCCCCTCGGCGGGCAGCTCGAACACTGCCGACGAAGCGCGCTGCGAAGTCCCCGCTTAAGCGCGCTCGACATATTCTGGCCAACGTTTCAGCAAGACGCCCCAGGGACTGCCATTGCCCAACGCAGCACTCGCACCACCGCCCGCACATGCGCCTCCCACATTCGAACCGTGGATGAGTGGCCAGCGCGCGCCCCCCCCAAACGGGCGAGGTCGGCGCTGCCTGCCCGGCCACCCCAGCAGGGCATGGGACGGAGCCTGCTTGCGCGAGACTTGTAAAAAAAACATATGTTCCGTTGCTGCCCGCCCCCATGCCGACATCGGCCCCCGCTCCACTGGTGGCGCGAGCGCCGCCAGGGCGAGCAGGGCCGCCGGCGCCGACTCGTGGCCAGTGGCCGCCCATGTTGAAGGCGCCCCCCACCTACGTTGGAAGCACAAGGAAAAGCAGAATGCATACCCAATGCGCCACCTTCCAGGCAGGAAGTCATCAGACCAACGCTAAAAGCGCCCCCATCCACGTTGAGAGTAATCTCGCCCGCTCGACAATCAGCGAGCAAGAAAGCCACCAGGACGAGCGGGCTGCGCGCCCCAGGCGCCAAATAGCCCCGCTCACGGTGGACACGCGCCCGCCCACGTTGGAAGCAAGCCCCTCCTCTGCAGGGCTGACCTCCAAAATGTCGTCGCCCGCGAGCTCGCAGGAGACGTCGCGCTTTCTTGACCCTCAACGCGCTTGGACGTCTCCCGCTGCTCAGGATATGTGGCTTCTCGTAAAGCCTCAGCTGCCTTCGTGAAGGCCTCCTGTTTGGCCTCGTAGTCATCCGCTCCGAGAACGACCGCGCTGATGTCATCGTCGTCTCCTACTGGAACGTGCAGGACCTGCAGGACAAGCTGCATGACCAGCGGCAGGCTCAGCTGCCGCCTGAGCCTGAGCGGTCTGAGCAGCGGCCTGCTGCTGGAGCCCGGGCAGGACCTCGAACGCCGCGCGCCCTGGGCCAAACTCGACGACCGATTTCTCGAAACCTGCGTTGAGGACCTTGAGCGGGTCGTCGAGCTCGTGGAATTGCGCCTTATACAGCAAGCCTTCAGCCTCCTACAGCACCCTCTTGCACTGTTCAAGGTACCCAACTCAGCACGCTGCACCTCGATCGCCTAGACCTTGCCGCTGTTTCTAAGGACCTGCTTGCGAAAGTTCTTGACCTGCCAGTGCGCATATTGCACGGACGCCATTTGAGGTATCGGTTGCTGTCTTCTTTTTGTTGCATCGACCGCCTCCACCACCGATGCATCGATCAATCTCTTTCTGCAAAACCTCCGCCACCTGCTGGTGTAAGAGCTTCGCTGCCGACGATGGAGACTGGTCGCCCGAATTGGCGGGTTCCGTCCACGGTGTTGGCTCCAGCCCCCCCAGCGAGCGAGAGTTTGGCTTCCTGGGCTTGCAGGTCCTTGAGCAGCCGCACCTGATGATAATGCTGGTGTGGTCCACGCGCCCGAACTCCTCCTGGGGCCCTCGGACCCGCGGTTGGAATCCACCGCTGTCGCAGACTTCTGTGCTGCCGTGGCCACCTTCGCTGGCGCCGCGGCGCCACAACCCTTACACTTGATTATAACTTCCCAAGTGTTCCACCTGAGGCACTTGCACCCCGAGTGGGGTGGGGTGTCCTTGCGCCTGGCAAGACATGTGGCGGAAGCCCCATGCGCTGCGCACAACAAGGGACAAACGTTGCTCGAAAAACTTGCGCGCACGAGCCGTTTTGAAATTTGCACGCGCGCAAATTCAGGTTCCAATCGCCTGAGCCAAAACTGCCCTGGGAGAGGAGGGAGGAGCAGGAGGAGAAAGGGAGTGAAGAAGAGGAGGGGATGACGTCGAAGGAGGGGTAAAGAGTTTTCAGGTCGTCGTAGATGTTATGGGATTGCACGAGGGCTCTCGTGGGTCTTCGGCGACAGGGGAGGACCCTGAGGGCCATCAGCAACGGAGACAGCCTGCACAGGCAAAAACGAAAGAATGCAGGGCACCGAATCGATGTGCGCGCTTCCTCGACCAAGGCCTCGGGGCACTCCTCTTGCTCCCAAGGCCATATGCTCTTCCTCCCTCCCGCTGTTCCGCTCCTGCTGGTGCCCCAGGGCCCTCCCCTTACCCCCCCCTTCTGACAGTCCCGGGGCCCATGGCGGAGTCCCGAAAAAACAAGCACGGCGAACATCCTCGAGACCCGCCTTCCCCCAGGACCAGGTTCCTTCACGGCGAGGGGACGACGAGTACCAGGCGGGGCGGCGCCGAGGGAGGAGGAGGAAGAGGAGAAGGAGGAGGAGGAGGAGGAGGAAGAGGAGGAGGAGGAAGCGGAGGAGGAGGAGAAGGAGGAGGAGGGGGAGGAAGAGGAGGAGGAGGAGGAGGAGGAGGAGGAGGAGGAGGAGGAGGGAGGAGGATGGGAGGGGGAGGGGGAGGAGGCTAGCTAGGTGCACTCGCGTCATAACTGACGTCCTACCCCTCCCTAGGTAACCCATCCCTTCACCTATGCGCTGATGTTCTCTAGCCCGCGGACGCGTGACATAGCGGACACTGTGGCTCGCGCGCGCTGCGTAGGGGGTCCGCAGCGCACTGCGTGCGTGCGTGCGTGCGGTGTGTGCGTGGTTGTGTGGTGGTGGTGGTGGTGGTGGTGGTGGTGGTGGTAGGTGGTGCTGGTCTCGTTGCTGGTGGGGTGCTGGTGCTGGTGGTGGGTGTGATGGTGGTCGGCTTTGGTTGTGGTGGTGGTGGTGGTGGTGGTGGTGGTGGTGCGGCGCGGTGGTGGCGGGCGGATGGGCGCGCGAGAAAGAGGCCCGCGCTGGGGCGAGAACGCCATCCTGAACGACGGAGGCGAAACACCGATCCGAAAATGAGGCCCACGCTGCAGCAGGAGCACGATTCGGAACGATTCGGGAGCAGACATGAGGCTGGCGCCTCAGCGAGAGCATCATTTGAAGAAAAACGCAAGCGAAAACCCGTTTCCCAGGAATCCTGTGTGTAAAAAAACAGTACGCGAGGGGCGTTCGGCCCGAAAATGACGCCGGCGCCTCAGCGAGAGTCGTTTCCCGGGATCTCCCGGGAATCCTGTGTCTAAAAAAACAATACGCGGAGGGTGCGCGGCCATGACCCGGACGCCATCAGGGGAAGAGGGAGAGTATTTTCATATTGAGTAATTGTGGAGGAGGAGGAGGAGGAGGAGGAGGGAGGGAGCGAGGAGGAGGGGAGGGGGAGGAGGGGGGAGAAGGAGGAGGAGGAGGGAAGGAGTAGGAGGAGGAGTGGGAGGAGGAGGTAGGGAGGAGGACGGGGGAGGAGGAGGAGGGAGGAGGAGGAGGAGGGGTGGGAGACGAGGAAAAAAAATGAGAGAAAAAGAACAAAAAACAAGGGAGCAAAAAGGGGGGGAGGGGAGGGGGGGGGAGGGGGGGGGGTGAGGGGGGAGTGGGATTGGATGCGGCGGCCCCCACCCCCCCGCAATCCCACCAACGCGTCTCCGCCGTCCGCCCTGCCGACATGCGGCGGCCCTGCGCTCCCGCGTCTCTTGCATGGTTGGTGCCTCCCCGTGTGCCCCCACGATGACGAACGCAACCCGCCACAGGAGGGCCGACCGACCGCGGCGCACACGGCGTGCGGCACGCGGGCCACCCCGCGCGGACTCCTGCCCGCGTCGGGGGATCTCCGGGCCGCCAGCAACGGCGAGGGCCCCGGCGGAGGTCGGCTCCGACCCCTCCCTCCCCCCCTGCCCCCCCTTCTCCTCCTCCTCCACCCTCCCCCTGCTCTCTCACCTTCTTCCTGGCCGCCTCCTCCTCCTCTCCTCCTCCTCCTTTCCCTCTTTCCTCCTGCCTCCCTCACCCTCCTCCTCCTCTCCTCCTCTATTCTCCTCCTCCTCACTCTCCTCCTCCTCCTCCCACCTCCCCCTGGCTCTCAGCTCCTTCCTCTCCCTTGGCCCCTCCTCCTCCGTCTCCTTCTCCTCCTCCTCTCAACTTCCTCTTCCTCCTCCTCCTCCTCCTCCTCCTCCTCCTCCTCCTTCACCTGCCCACCTTTTCTCCTCCTGCGCCCCAGTTGGCTTTGCCCAGAAGCAACGCCTCCCTGGTGCACCCCGAGACGTGTCGGTACGGCAGGGCAGGCATGGCGCCGGAGATCTACTCACCAGCCGTAATGATTCAAAATTGGAAGCTGCAGCAGCTTCACGGATGGAGGGTGTGTTATTTTCAAACTGTGGCTCCCCCCAAATCGCCGCACACGTTCATCTCAAAAGCTGGCAAGAACTTCGCGGATCCAGGGCGTGTATTTCTTTTGAATGTTGCTCCCGCCTTAGCGCTGCGCGCATCCCTTCAAGTCCGTAAATGCCACCAACCAGAAGTTGCTATCTGGCGATCCTTTCGACCGCCAGAAAGCCAAGATGGCCTCCAAGACGGCTTCCAAGACAGCCAAGGTGACACACAGATGGCCCAAGACAGCTCAAGAGGCCCCCAAGATGGCCGCAAGACGGCCAAAGAGAACTCAAAAACGGCCCAAGGGGGCTCCAAGAGGCCCCCAAGAGGCCCTACAGGACAGCCCGCGGATGCAACACAAACACACACACACACACTGATCCCCCGTAGGTTGTTCAATGATTTCGACACCAAGGTCGCCTAAGAGCCTCCCCAAAACGGCCCTGAAGCGCCCTAAGAGGGCACCAGGAATTCAACAACACGGATGGAGGGCTATTCCTTTTCCAGATGTGGCTCGCGCTCAGAATGCCATCGACGTCCTCCCAAGGAGATCAAACTTGTGAACCACTCGAGCGGATGGAGGGCTGCTGCTTTTCGAAAGATGGCTCTCACTTGATACATTCTCAGAGCGTGCGACCACACTAGAGGAAGGAAATACTGCATAACCATTAACTTTCCAGGCTCCGGACTGTCGATCGTGTATGTTTGTGCAGCATCGTCCCTTCGATTCAGATATCCTCTATCTGAGCTCGGCGGCGAGCCCGGGGGCGGAAGTGAGAAGGGGCGGGCCTTCTCAAAGGCTCGGAAGTTCCCCGGCCTTCTGAGAAGTGTTCGAAGCCTTCCCCGGAAACACTGAAAACCTCTCAGACGGCCGGAGGCTTCCTGAGAAGCCCCACCGCCTTCAAAAAAAGGCCTGCTCCTTCTGATTTCCCCCCTCGCTCGCCGCTGATGTACGACCAGCAGTGCACGACTGTGCAGTATCCACGAAGATAGACGCCCGTCTACTTCCAGAGAGGGGTGGCGGCGCCGGACACTCTCTTGAACTTTCACTTGATCCAACCTCTGGGCACTCAAACCTACTGTCAAAACTGATAGGTCGTCGCGCCGGTTGTCCTCGACGCGTCCAAATTGACGACGCCGACACCGCGGCAAACCCAAGGCAAGCCCAGACGACGCCAACACCGCGGCAAACCACACGGCAAGCCCACCGCGCCCGAGGCGGCGCTGGCCCTGATGGCCGCGGAGCCCCCTCAAAGGCGTAAGGCCGTGCGTCGGAACCAACGGCGCGGCGACATGGGAAGGATGCATGGTAAGGAGGCAGGGGCCTCGAATGCCATACCGGCACGGGGCGCGGCACACGAAGTGGCCAAGGGTGGGCCGAAGGGAAGGGAGGAAACCTTGGAAAGTCGCTGATCCTTACTGTCAATGTGGTCTGTAGCTAGATGGACGCGTGAGCGTGTTCTCACAGCGGGGCCATCGCCTGAGTAGAAAACAAGCATGCGGAGCTTGTCTTTCGAGGTGGAACTTCCCGCCGGTGTAAGGAATGTCCGCTGAGATCGACGAGCAGGGAACTTCGGCCAAGAGAGTGTACTGAAGCAATGTTGGTGCGTCCTTGGTTTACTCTGATCGTTTCCCTCCTCCTCCACCCTGTACTCACCCTCCGCTTTCATCATCCTTTTCTACGCCCTCCTCCTCCTCCTCCACCTCCTCCACTTCGCCTCCTCCTTCGCCCCTTCCTCCTCGTCCCTCTTCCCCCTGCTCCACCTTCCTCTAGGAAAACAAGAAGAAGAGGAAGCAGAAGACGAAGAATCAGAAGAAGAAAACACGCCATAAACATTAACTGTTGGCGCTCCGCGCAGATTTCTTGAATCCGCGCGGATTTCTTGGAACCGCACTGGATCCCCCTCCCTGGCACGCGGAGCGCGCCAGGGGCGGCACCGGAGGCGCCGCCAGGGGGGCCCAGCGCAGATCCAGGAAATCCGCGCGGAGCGCCCAAAGTCTATGTTCATGGCGTTTCTTCTTCTTCGACCCCCTTCCCCCTGCGCACTACTCCTCCGCCTCCTCCTCCTCCTCCTGCTCCTCCTCCTCCTCCTCCTCATCATCATCATCATCAGCAGCATCATCATCATCATCATCAGCATCATCATCGTCAGCATCATCGTCATCATCGTCATCAGCAGCATCATCATCAGCAGCAGCATCATCATCAGCATCATAAGCATCATCATCATCATCATCATCATCATCATCATCATCATCATCATCATCATCCTCATCCTCATTCTCATCCTCATCCTCATCCTCATCCTCATCCTCCTCCTCCTCCTCCTCATCATCATCATCATCATCCTCATCCTCATCCTCATCCTCATCCTCATCCTCATCATCATCATCATCATCATCATCATCATCATCGTCATCAGCATCATCATCAGAATTATCATCATCACCAGCAGCATCAGCATCATCATCATAATCAGCATGATCATCATCATCATCATCATCATCATCATCATCAGCATCATCAGCAGCATCATCATCAGCATCATCAGCATCACCCTCCCCCTCCCCTCCCCCTCCGAGGCTGCTCCACCCCCCCCCCGGGTGACCATGGTGCTGCCCTCTCCCCTGCTGTGAGACGGAGCCGATGCCCCGACAACAGCGCACCTGGAAAGCATCGGGGATCTCTGAGATCCGGCAGCCTTGGAGGAGGTTCCTGAAGGGGCCCAGGGACACACACACACATGCATAGACACAAATCCCATGACTCCCCCACATGTTCCCATGTTCTCCGACAACATCGCAGAAGGCATCGGGGATCTCCGAGATCCGGCGGCCTTGGAGGAGGTTTCTAAAGGGGCCCAGGGACACACACACACACACATACATAGATACAAATCCCATGACTCCCCCATATGTTCCCATGTTTTCCGACAACATCGCAGAAAGCATCGGGGATCTCCGAGATCCGGCGGCCTTGGAGGTTTCTAAAGGGGCCCGGGGACCCACACAAATACATAGACACAGATCCCATGATTCCCCCATTTGTTCCCATATGTTCTGGGTGTTCTTCTTCCCCCCACCTCCCATCTTTTGTCCATCCATATTCTCCTGGAGATCGGCGAACCGATGTGTCGCTGTGTGTTTCTCCCTCCTGACGGAGATCCAAAAGTTCTGGAGGTACCGGGCGCCGCGGCCGTTCCAGAGCGGGCGCGTAGCAGACGCGAGTACACGAGTTTCGGGGGGGCCCGGACGACCCCAGCCAGGGCGCAGGGCACTCGCCTTTGCAGCGGCCGAATTCTCGCGAGGACGCCAGCGGGAATTCTCCATGCGCTCAGAAGGGCTCCCTCGGCTGGAGGGCTCAAAAAGAGAGACGGAAGCATCGTGTAAACGATCCCTATGCCCCCTGGCGTTGCCTTGGCCCCACTGGCTGGCTTTACCCACCCAGGTGTAGGTCGGGCGTGTACTCGTACAGGCGAAAAGTTATAAAAAATGACCCCCGAATAATGAAATAATGCTTCAAAATAGTCGAGCATAGTCGACAAATTGTCCCTCTACGATTTTTTAAACTATTTTTGAATTTTCCTCCTGTAGATGGACACGCCCGACTTAAACCCAGCTGGGGGTATATGTGCTGTTCCATTCGGGGTGCGTGGGGCCTATATCCACGCTGGAGAGAGGGGTGGGCTGGCGGGGCTGGTAAAGAGTGTCCTGTATGGGGCAGGGATCGGTTGGACGATGCTGAGGAACAGGAACAGAGAGGGGCCGGAGGTCTTGAGACAAGGTGCTGCCGCTGCCTTCGCTGCGGGTCTGTGTACAACGCGCGCGGAGCAACACTTAGCCCGCGCGCGAGCCGGATCTACCACCTACCGCTCCACCGGAGGCCGCTCGAATAGGGCGGGAGTAATGAGATGGGCTCGGAGGGGCGCACTGCATCGCTGATACATGGGCCGCGCATCGGCGACGTCGGGGTGGAGAAAATCGATCTCTGGATCGCGGGCCATCGCCGATGCGCCTGCGATGCGGCGCGATCCTCCAACCCCCCACCTCCCAGACATCCGCCGACATGAATTCTTCCATACGCGGCCCCAGAGGTCCCGACCTCTTCCCCGGGGCCAGCTTTGCGTCCAGGCCCCACTTCTGCTGGCCCCCAGGCTTGATAACGTAGCATGGGGGGAACGGGTCCTGAAGGAAACGAGTCATGGACCCTGGTGCCTCCCCCCAAGGCGAATGCTTGATCCTGAGCCGTTTTCTGACAGCCCCGGGGCCCGTGGAGAGCGCCGAGAACCCGACGACGAAAAACCTGAGGACCCGTCTCCTTCAATAGAAAAAAGAAAACACCATAAGCATCAACTTTTGGCGCTCCGCGCGGATTTCTTGGATCTACGCTGGGCCCCCCTCCCTGGCTCGCGGAGAGCGCCGAGGGCGGCGCCGGAGGCGCCGCTGGGGGGCCCAGGGCGGCCCAGGCGCGGATCCAAGAAATCCGTGCGGAGCGCCAAAAGTTGATGCTTATGATGTTTTCTCTCTTTCTATCGAAGGAGACGGGTCCTCATGCTTTGTCGTCGTTCTCGGGCTCTCGGCGCTCTCCGCGGGCCCCAAGAAAGCCGTGCGGAACGCCAGAAGCTTATGTTTGTGGCGCTTTTTCTTCTTCGGCTCAAGACCCGCATCCCCCGTGGCGAACCGCGGGACCCCGAGGCCCAGCGCGAGGAGCAGCCGCCGGCTGCAGCGAGGTCGGATCTCGTCGGAGGCCTGGGGGCTCCCGATCGGGCGGCCCAGCTGCACGCACCCAGCACGGCGCCCTTTCGGCAACCGACAGAGGCGGCGCGGGCCTGCTTTCCACCACCACCGCCCGCAGTTGAAGGGGGAGGGGGTCCTCCTCCTCCTCCTCCTCCGCCCCCTCCTCCTCCTCCTCCTCTTCGTCCTCCTCTTCGTCCTCCTCCTCCTCCTCCTCCTCCTCCTCCTCCTCCTCCTCCTCCTCCTCTTCGTCCTCTTCCCCTCCTCCTCATCGTCCTTCGCCTCCTCTCCTCCTCCCCTCCTCCTCCTCCTCCTCCTCCTCCTCCTCCTCCTCCTCTTCGTCCTCCTCCTCCTCCTCCTCTTCGTCCTCCTCCTCCTCCTCCTCCTCCTCCGCCTCCTCGTCCTTCTCCTCCTCCTCCTCCTCAGCCTCCTCCTCCTTCCCCCCTCCAGCTGATGGTGGTGGTGGTGGTGGAAAAACAAGCCCCTCAGAGGCGGCGCGGGAAAAAGACGGGAGGCGGCGGCGCCGGCCTGTGGACCGGAGCTGTGGCGCTTCGCGGGGGGGGCGACAGGGCAGGAGGGCAGAGGGCAGGGCAGAGACCCAGCTCACGCACCCATGGTTTTCCTGGTGCCTCCTGGCTCCCGAAGGCGCCCATGTACAGTCGGGGCGTTGACCTAAGGAACCCTAAATCAGGAACGAGGCCCCTGGCTCCCATAAGGTAAGTTTTGATTTCCCATGGAAAACGAAAGGAAAGCCCAAGGCAAACTGTACAACAATCAAGGAACACCGAGCCCCTCCCCGACGAAAAGGGTTTCTTCTTCAGCGCCCCGACTGTATCGAGGAATAGGCCCGGCAGCGGGGCCGAAACCAGCTACACGCAGCAGGCGGCGGCGAACCTGGGGAGAAGTGAGGAGGGGCGGGCCTTCTCAGAGGGATCGGAAGTCCCCTGGCCTGCTGAGTTTCTGAACGTGCCCCGAACAGACACAGAAAACTTCTCCTCAGGCCAGGGGTGCTTCTGAGAGGCCCCGCCGCCTTCGGAGAAGGCCATGTCCTTCTCACTTCCGCCTCAATGTCGTACCCCCAGACTCCCGACGTCGTGATTTTGTTCACGACGTCGGTTCTCAGTTCTCAGCTGCCGTCTGGTCAGCATGCATGCACGCTTGCCAGGGCGGGAAAGGCGGCAGCCTGGGATTAGTCTGACTCTTACCCCGCGCCATCATACCCCCCCAAACGGGAGAGTGGCTCAGGCGGGAGTCTCAAACGCATACCTGTCCCAGGAAGCTCACCTTTGAACAGTTTCCGAAGGCCGAAAGTTCGGAAATACCTCCCGTCGTGGTGTTTGTCACCACGCGAGGGGGTCTGGGCCCGAGCCCCCCCCTTTCCTGCCCTACTGCAGGGGCCCTTCCCCAAGAAACCTTCCACAAGAAACCCAACCCTGAGACCCCAGGACATCATTTGATCTCTGGCATGGGAGCGTCACGCTTGCCATAGCAAAACCATCGACCCCCCCCCCAAAAAAAACAGGGCACCCTGGAGGCAAGCAGGGCGTCTCTTGGCATGGGCCTCCACCCTGCCCTCGCGCCGAGCCCAAGGCTCCGAGGGCTCCGCAGCGCCTCGGCGATGGCAGGGAGGCGCAGCGCTTCGGCGGGGCGCTCCCCGCCCCGGCAAGGGGCGCCCGCTCGTCGGCGGAGGCCGGCCGGGCGCGGACGGACCAGGGCTCAGCGCACCCCCAGGCCCGGCCAAGTTCGAGCACCTGCGCTACAGTCGGACTTGATTGCAGAGGACACGCGCGAGGACACGAGAGCCTTCCGGGGGCCACACTGCCACAGGGATGGAGGAGGCATGGGCCGCGAGGCACAGGACACAAGGGTACCCTTGACTTGGCAAGGTCGACCTACTAATCCGGGCCGACTGTACCACTCCTCTGGAGGAACGAACAGTGACATAATACAAACGCGGAGGTCCGCGCGGATTTCTCGGATCGGCGCTGGCTCCCCCCTGGCGGCGCCTCCGCTCCGCGCGCCAGGGGGGGGGTCCAGCGCCGACGGAGAAATCCGCGCGGACCTCTGAGTTTTTATGTTCATGAATCATGTCATTGATCGTTACCCGATCTTCGGACCCAAAGATCCGACGCATGGACAAAAATCACGACGGGACTTTTGTTCGCTAAGTTCGGCCTCCCGGGGCCCTTGCAGGGCCCCGGGGGACCGTCAAAAAACGACCAAGAACGAGACAACCGGTACCCGGGAGTGGGGCTTCTGGATTTCTGGGGAGGGGGCTTCCCTGGAGAAACAAAAACGGCATGAGTACAATGTTCTTGAGGTCCGCGCGGATTTCTTAGATCGGCGCTGGGGCCCCCCTCCCAGCCGCGCGGAGCGAACCAGGGGCGGCGCTGGTGCCGCCATGAGGTCCCAGCGCCGACCCAAGAAATCTGCGGACCTTCCAGAAATTATGCTTGTGCCGTTTTCGCTGCCCTTCCATTCCCAGACCCCGGCTCGGCCTATGTGCAAGGCTACATCTGGGGACACGAGAGCCTCCCCAACCCTGCTCGGCCAATCTCTGGCCTTACAGGATCCTGCAGGATCTCACGAGCGGCGAGCATATCCGCACCCGCGCCCTCGCGGTCTGGAATCTGGGGCGCGTTCCCGCGGCTACGCGGTCGCACGCTACGCGATCGCAGGGCATCCGCGAAAAGGTGCCCCGTATCCGCGGGGTCGCGGCCCAGGTGCCCCGTATCCGCAAGGCCGCGGATGCGGGTTTTTCGCCCACGAGGATCTGGGCTGAGCCCCGATTGCGCTGGACCCAATTTGCGCGACTCCTCCGACGGGTGTGGTTTGCATGGGGTCTGGCTTGCAACCGGCACTCTTGGGGGGGGGGGGGGCACCCTGGACAGCTGGCGAGGACCTCGATCGAGTCCTCCGCCACGCCCCCTTAGGAGGCCCGACGAGGACAGCGTCGTGCCCCCCCGCCCAGACCCCAGACGTCAGGAATTCGTCACGACGTCCACCCCCAAAGGTATGGACCCATTCCCCGGGGCCGGCCTCTCATCCCCAACATCCCTTTTTCTGACGGCCCCGAGGCCCGGGGAGGGCCCCCAAAGGCCGAAAGCGGCCAGAAACCTCCCGTCGCGATTCTTTCATGACTCGGGGGGGGGGTCTGGGCAGGCCCCGACGGCGCCGATCGCAAACCACGCCCGCGCCCACGCTGGCGGCAGGCCGCGCGCTGGGCTGTTCAGGCGTAAGCGGCGGGTCTGGGCGGGCCGTCGGTGGGGAGGGCCGCGGCCGTGGCGCTCTCCACGAACGAGGCCTCGCGGCAGCGGGGGCTGGGCTGAGTGAGGAGGGAAGGAGGGAGGCGGGACAGAGGGAGGGGGGGGCCTCCCCCCCCTCTAGAATAATACAGTACGGGTAAAACTCAGAAGAAAAGATGCAGAAGAAAAATAAGCACGGTGATAAGAAGAAACAACAACTGAAACAAATGCATAAACTAAACTGGTGGCGCTCCGCGCGGATTTCTTGCATCCGCGCTGGAGCCCCCCTCCCTGGCTCGCGGAGCGCGCCTGGGGCGGGGCGGAAGCGGCGCGGGGTGGGCCCATCGCGGACCCAAGACATCTGTATGTTTATGGCGTTGCTTCTTCTTCGACCCTCCCCCTCTCGTGGGGAGCTTGCGCAGCAGCGTCCTCCGACTCGTGCGATGCCCATCAGCCCCCGGGAAACCCCCTCGGCCGCTCCACGCTGCTTTTTTGCACCGGCTCGCCGCTCGACGGTCTCAACGACCGACACCGGCCCACAGAGGCGCAAGACGATGACAGATCGGCCGCCTCGCTGTTTGGACTGGAAGGGCCGAGGAACGGACTGACTCCTTCCTGGCGGCGCGCGCAAGGGAGGTGGCGCGAAAGCGGGGGGGGGCCTTCGAAGAAAGCGGGGTGCCTCTCAGAGGACAGGGGCCTTCTCTAGGGGGAAAACAAACCTTCCTCGCTTTTGACCACCCTCGCTTCCAAGGGATACCAAACGATGTCAAACTACGGCCTGTACGGGTCAGGCCGCTTGACGAGAAGGCGCGTGGTATGACTTGGTTTTGCCTGGATGCGAAAGCGGGGTAGGTAATTCACGCTCTGATTTTGGGGAGCCGTCCCTGCTGCTGAGAGGCCTTAGCACAAGCAGGCACCCCAACGCCATCCTCAAGGACATCCCGGAGGCATCGCGAGGGGGGCAACCTGAGACCCGACTTGCGTCGGATCCACGACGGCGTTACGTCGAATTCACGCCGGATCGCTTCGGATTTACATTCAAGTCGGGCGTGTCCCCCTACAGGGGGATTTTCAACGGAAAATAAAGAATAGTACAAAAATACACCAAAATTGTCAATGTGACTAGTTTTGAATATTCCTCCTGTCGAGGGAAAGGCCGGACTTACCCTTACGTCGAAGCACCGGCTAGCAAACGTCGTCCCATATCTCGCGGGGCGGGCGTGCTGACTAGACAACACAACCATCTCGCGCCGCGCGAAGCCTCCAGGACTTTCCTCCTGTAGGGGGGTACAGTCAACCCGCATAGTAAGGATGCGCGATAAGGATACAAGGGCCTTGGACGCCCAATTTCGAAGCTTTTCGAGCGGGGCGCGGCCAATGAAAGCGGTCAAGGATGGGCCGAGAAGGCAAGGATGCAAGGGTACCCTTGGGAAGGATGCAAGGGTACCCTTGCTATGCGTGTTGACTGCAGCGAGGAGGGACGGGGATACTCTGAGAAAGCCACGCAACTTGAAACGTCGGTTTGTGTGTTTTCGTTGCCGTCGACGTGGACGAGCTCCGCGGTGACAGGGTCGGAGCGGCCAGCAAGGGCAGCGTGGACCGCGTCAGCAGCCGGGGCCGCGGGCGGAAGGCGGCGGGCGGAGGCGGACAGGCGGGAGGGGGGCAGCCCCGCCGGCGGCGGCCGGCGGAGGCAGCCAGAGGGTGCCCCCCCCCCGCTGAGGTGCAGAGGTTTCGGAGGTGGATCGACCTCCTGCCCTGACACGTCGATTAGCGGATTGGCCGTTGTGGGTTCGCGAGAGGGCGTCGCGGCCGTCATTTCTGCGGGTCCAGGTCCGTCGGTTTCGGTCCGTGGCCGCTTCCACTAAAGGGTGGTTTACTGAAGGGAGGTTCGTCCACCGCCGAATGTTTGGGGTCAGGGTTTCCGGAGCCGTCCACCTGTTTTTGCCGCCGCCTCTATTCCGAAGGCTCGCAAGGTTGTTTTTAGGCTCCGCCGGCGGCAGCCGGCGGAAGTAGTCAAAGAATGCCCCCCCGATGCGATGCACATGCTTGGGGTCAGGGTTTCTGGAACCGTCCATCTGTTTATGGTGTTGTGCCGCCGCCTCCTCCCCCGAAGGCTCGCAAGGCTGCCGCCAGGCTCCGCCGAGCGGGAGCGAAGCACACACACATACACGCGCACACGCACACGCACACGCACAAGCATATACACACGCGCACGCACACGCACACCCGCACACGCACGCGCACGCGCACAAGCACACGCGCACGCGCACGCATACGCACACGCACACGCACACGCACACGCACACGCACACGCGAACGCACACGCATATACACACGCACACGCACACGCACACGCACACGCGCACGCGCACGCGCACGCGCACGCGCACGCGCACGCGCACGCACAAGCACACGCACACGCACACGCACACGCACTCGCACACGCACACGCACACGCACACGCACACGCACACGCACACGCACACGCACGCACACGCACACGCACACGCACACGCACACGCACACGCACACGCACACGCACACGCACACGCACACGCACACGCACACGCACGCGCACGCACACGCACGCGCACGCGCACGCGCACGCGCGCGCGCGCACGCGCACGCGCACGCGCACGCGCACGCGCACGCGCACGCGCACGCGCACGCGCACGCGCACACGCGCACGCGCACGCGCACGCGCACGCGCACGCGCACGCGCGCGCGCGCACGCACGCACGCACGCACGCACGCACGCACGCACACGCACGCACACGCACACGCACGCACAGCGCACGCGCACACGCACGCGCACACGCACACGCACACGCACACGCACACGCACATGCACACGCACACGCACACACACACACACACACACACGCACACGCACACGCACACGCACACGCATTCGCACACGCACACGCACACGCACACGCACACGCACAGCTAGTGTTTCGAGCTCATTGTTTCTCGCAGACAGATTCACGTCCGATACGTCGCTGGAAACATTAAAACTTTGAAACATGTTTGTTGCATGCCAGATCCGTGGCTAACCGTCCCAGGGTTTGAAAACAGCCTTCGGAGGCCAATAGCGACGAACAGTCGAAGGCGACGAAAATTTGAAGATTTGTTCCGCCGGCGGCGAGGCAGAGGCGATCCGCACCAGTGGGGCTAATCGGGGGCACCGATCTGCAAATTGTCTGGCGTGCAAATTATGGCAGTCTTCGGGCTCCAGTGATGGTTCTACTTGCTCTGCCGCCACTGCGCCTTGGCAGCGCCGAAGACTGGGGAAACCACATGGTACCGATCCCGCTGCCCCCCAAAGGGACCTCCCCCGGGGCGCATTTTTGACCAGGACTTCGAGGCGGGTCCAGCGGTGGCGACGAGGGCCTCCCGGCAGGCGCAGGCCACAAAAAAAAGGGGACAGCGGGCGAGGGGGTGGGGCTGTGGCTGCCTTTCCCTCCTCCGAGCGACGCTCCACGTGGGCTCTGCCCTTCCATAGCCCACCGTGTGCACAGCGCTGCCCATCACCAGGGGGCTCAACGGCCTCCCGCACCTCCAGCGGGTAGTTCCCCTTGACGCGCTCGTTCTTGGGGTCGAACGGCGCCTGTCGGAACGCTGGCAGAGGTGCCGCACTCGGACATCCGGCCGCTCCAGTGTTTTCGATGTCTGGCCCCCGGAGGTCAGGACCACTTCTCATTGCACCGGCCTTGCAGACGTGCTGCAGCGGATTTCTGCGTGGATTCCTGCGTGGATGTTTGCCCGAAGCGGCGAGCGAAAAACGAAGTGAACTCCGCGTGGATTCTTTTGGGTCTTCATTCCTGGCCCCAAAAAAATCCGCACGAAACTCACCTCGAAATCTGGAACGACATTCTCCAGGACACCCCGGGCCCATCCGATCGTTTTCCGAACGAAGTCCGCTCTGCGATGTTGGCGCGAGATGACACTTCCCCAGGGCCGGAGTGTCGCCCTGCATCGTCTTGAGACGGTCCTGGGGCCCGGCGGGGGCCCTCCGGAGGCCGAAGCCAGCCAACAACCGCCCATTTCCAACTTTTGGGAGCGCCGGATCTGTGTAGAGGACAGAACATCCACCCCGATCATACCCCCCCCCCGGCACGCCAGGCCTGTCGTAAACGCGCCCAGAGAAGGAATCGAACCGAGCAGGGCGCTTTTAGTAGACGCCCAGGGCCGTGCAGTATAAACGCCGATTGTCTGGCCTGGGTGGTGTTTCCCCCGCGTGGGCAGACGTGACCGACGACGTTCTGGACTTCTGCACGCGAGCAGGCGCGCGGCCCCCTGTGTGCAGCGTGCGGCGCTGCCTCCCCCTCCTTCCCCCTACTGTGTCTGAGCTGTGCACTGGCACCCTCGCTTCCCTCGCGGCGCCCTTTCTGGGCCCGCCCTCGTGCGAGCGGGGTGGCGGAAGGAATGGACGACTGCGGGCACGTGCTGACGCTCTCGACCTGCGCTGGGCTGCCGGAAGGGCTCACCCACAGGCAGGCTGTGTCGCGCGGGCCCTCGCGCATCGCGCACCCGTGTCTCGAGCGGCGTGCGCTGGGGCTCCCCCCCCCCCCACCCTGCGGAGCCGGTGCTCCCAGCACGGAGCGGAGGAGGAGAATGAGGATGGGGAGGAGATGGAGGAGGGGGAGGAGGAGGAGGAGGAGGAGGAGGAGGAGGAGGAGGAGGAGGAGGAGGAGGGGAGGAGGAGGAGGAGGGGGAGGAGGAGGAGGAGGAGGAGGAGGAGGAGGAGGAGGGGGAGGAGGAGGAGGAGGAGGAGGAGGAGGAGGAGGAGGGGGAGGAGGAGGAGGGAGGAGGAGGAGGTTGAGGAGGGGGAGGAGGAGGAGGAGGAGGAGGAGGAGAGGAGAAGGAGGAGGAGGAGGAGGAGGAGGAGGAGGAGGAGGAGGAGAGAAGGGGAGGAGGAGGGGGCGCAGGAGCAGGAGCAAGGAGCAGGAGCAGGAGCTCCTTAGGAGAAGGAGGGAGAGGAGGAGGAGAAGGAGCAGGTGACGAGCCGATGACGCGGGGAGCAAGTGCAGAAGAGTGTAATCCGAGGCAGGGCGCGGCGCAGTCGAGTGCAAATCCAAGAGATAGGGCAGCATTAAGCAGTGCTACATGAAGCTCGGGATAAGGCAGCACCGTGCAATACAACTGTAAAGCACAGCGAAGCAAATCTGACGATGCCTGGCAAGCAGCACGTACAATATGATGCGCTATGCATACAGGTTCCCCCGTGGCGAAGGTACTCCCAAGGCTCTGTGGCATGCAACTCTGAATTGTGTCGCGCTGAGCACAACAGAAGAGAAATCGTTGTTTTTACAGCGACTACGTCCCGATGGTTATGCAAGGTGTGTGTTCACATCTCTTCATCATCTGTCCTCTACGTCGCCTGGGAACTCGGTTCCTGGCTTGCGCGTCACCCCTCGCTTCCTATCATGAATTCGTTTTGCATCTCTGGAATCGGCCAGCAGATCCGCTGGGAACTGCCCCACACAACTGCCACTCCTGCAGGATGTTTCCCCCGTTACCCTCCTCCCCCGTGGGAACCCAAAGGTTTTGGACGAAGCGCGGGTCAAGCCGCCCTCAACCATGCTGCTACTGGTTCTCCTCCTCCTCCTCCTCTGAAGTGGCGGGCCGCCGCCCGCCAGGATCTTTCAGGTGTTCTGCAGTCGTAATTTCAAGAGCTCTGCGAACCGAAATGTTCTGTCTGAGCGGGTGAGGGCGGGCAGCGGCAGAGGCAGGATGAAAGGGGGATGATCGCTGGGGCACCTCCTCCTCTTCCTTGCGATACCTGCTCCCCCTCGTTCTCGGACTGATGCTTCTCGTCCTCCTCGTCTTCCTTCTCCTCCTCCTCCTCCTCCTCCTCACTCTCCTAGGCGCTGGGCGCTGATGGCTCTGGTGCCGTGGCAGTCTTCTACTGATCCTCCTCCTCCTGCTCCTCCTGCTCCTCCTCCTCCACCTCTTCCTCCTCATTATCATCATCAGCAGCAGCATCGTCATCGACATCATCACCATCGTCGTCACCATCAGTATCACCAGCATCATCATCATCATCATCATCATCATCATCATCATCATCATCATCAGCAGCAGCAGCATCAGCATCAGCATCATCATCAGCATCATCATCATCATCGTCATCACCATCATCAGCATCGTAAGTATCAGCAGCATCATCGTCAGCAACATCATATGCCATCATCAACATCATCATACTCGTCATCCGCATCACCATCATCAGGATGGCATCATCATCATCAGCATCACTGTCAATACCATCAGCATCAGCATCAGCATCATAATCAACATCAGCATCAGCAGCACCATCGTCAGCGTCATCATATGTATAACCATTATCAGCATCAACATAAACAGCATCACCATCATCGCCATCATCACCATCAGCATCAGTATCATCATCAACAGCAGCATAATCAGCAGCACCATCATCAGCATCATCATCATCATCATCACCAGCAGCATCATCGTCATAATCATTATCATTATCATCAGCATCATCATCATCATCATCATCATCATCATCATCATCATCATCATCATCATAAACATCAGCATCATCATAACCATCAGTATCACCACCATCATCATCACCATCATCACCATCATCATCGTCATCATCAGCAGCAGCATCAGCAGCATCATACATGTCATCATCAACATCATTATTATAAGCATCATCACCAGCATCATCACCATCATGATCACTGTCAACAGCATCAGCATCAGCATCAGCATCAGCATCAGCATCATCATCGTCAGCATCATCATCAGTATCATCGTCATCATCATCAGTATCACCAGCATCAGCATACACAACATCACCATCATCACCATTATCATCAACATCAGCAGCATCAGCATCATCAGCAGCAGCATAAACATAATACTCATCCTGCTGGCGCCTGCTCCTCGTACTCTTTCTCCTGCTCTGCTGCTACTTCTCCCTCCTCCTCGCGATCGCGCGTCTCCCTTGGAGCCACGCCCCGCGCCCGCCGCGGGCGGCCGCGGTCGGGGAGGGCCCACCCTTTTCTGGAGAGGGGCAGAGGGGGGGGGGGAGACCGCCCACGCTCACACCATACACCTCCCGACGCCATCGAGGAGAAGTGGGACAGTGAGGAGGGGGGTTGGACCCTCTTGATGTGGCTCTCGGGGACCTCTCGGAGCCTCCTGGCAGCCCCTCGAGGGCGCCTCGGGGGCCCTTGGGGACTCCTGGGGGCTCCTTGGGCCGTCCGAGGGCGCTCTTGGGCCGCACGGGCACTTCCAGAGTCCATCGCGGGGGGGGGCTCTGAGGTTAGGTCGGGCCCGTCCCCCTGCAGGGGGATTTTGAGCGAAGCATATTCGAACATACCCCAAAATATATAACAAAGTTGGCCCAGGCAATTATTTTACTATGTGGGAAGCTTCCTCCTGTCGAGGGACAGGCCCGACTTCACTCTGAGGGCCTCCTCCTCCTCCTCCTCCCCCTCCTCCTCCTCCTCCTCCTCCTCCTCCTCCTCCTCCTCCTCCTCCTCCTCCTCCTGTTCGCCATTCCGCTTCGACGCTTTCTCTTGCGGCAGAGACGCGGCTTCCGGGCGCCGAGCGCCGCCGTCTGGCGCCCAGTCCGCCCTGGCCGCTGCTGGCTCGTGCTGCTCCCTCCTAGCTGCCCCAATGCGCAATTCGACGGAGCGTGCGAACACTAAGCTCAACACGCATTTAGACTGAAAACGGGTTCGGTGGCAACTCATGGAAGCCTCCCGTACCATCTTCTCGGCATCTGCGGATCGACACTCATCGACGCTAAATCGCCACTCATCGACGCTCACCGACGCTTGTTCGGCGCTATCTCATCGACTCCCAGACGCTCATCGATTCGATTCTACGCTTAAGACGGAAGTGCGATGGTATACCAGGCTCCCATGATTTGCTTCCGAAAACGCGGGTCTGGCGCGGTGTGTCCGCCAAAACGCGTGCCAGCACTTACTGAGCCAAAACGCAGCGTGTTGGCCCTGGCGCTTGGAGCACGGTACGTGTTGCGTTGCAGCGCGGCCGTATCAGGGCAGCTAAGCAGTGTGTCTGGCAGCCACTTGGCACGGTGCTGCTCTGAGCTAACCCCGCGGAATCAAGAAGGGGACGGCCTTCAAGGAGAGGCTGGCGGCATGGAAATCACCCTTGTCGCCCACCTGCCACACGCCGGCCTCCAGCCACTTGTTGGTGATCTTGGCCTGGGGCAAACTCGTGTCTCAAAACTCTGCGCCCCCTCCTGGGAGTCCAAATGCCACCCAACCCTGCCCCAACCCACCCCAGACTGAACGTTGCCGCGACGAGCTGGAAATCCGTTACGCATGAGCTTCATCCGGTTTGGAAAGGCGCAGAGCCATGGGGACACCGGCACAAACATATTCACGCATCAGCAGAATCGTACAAATTGCTTCTCGTTACGCTGTATTGAACTGAAATGCGCTGAACTAAACTGTGTCTCTTTGCATGCACATGCGCGCCGCAAGACAGCCTCGACGTCGACGACTCATCTGACAGTTTGGGGAAACTGGAACGATCCCGGCGATGCGAAACTTCTGGTGCTCATCACTGGGCACCGTGCAGTGCCCTGTGATGCCTCATTTGTCCCGAGAACTGGTGGCCACCCTGGTGCCTTCTGGGCGAAGCCCCACTTGTCGCGGTTTCATAGAACCGCTTTGGAGCCCAAGTTGTGGCGCCGTATAGCTGGTGTCCTATGGTGCCCCAAAAGCGACGAATTATGGTGGCCACCTTTGTGCCCTGTGGGTGGTGCCCTATGTCTATGGCGCCCCATCGTGATTCCTGGTCGTCGCTATGCTGTTCTAGGGGGGGCGCTACGACAAGTGGGGTATGATGCCTCGTGAGCTGCGATGTTCAGTAGTCGCCCTTGTGCTCGATGGGTGGCGCCCCAGAGCTCACGAGCAGCGAATGCTACATACTGTTGTTTGGGGTCAAGGCTGGAAATCATTTTATTCCAGAAATGGGGGCGAGGATGTCGAAGGTGAGCCACAGCCACTGACTGCTGTCACCTGCTTTCGAACGCCTGAAGTCGTAAAGCTACAGGGGTGGAGTCCTCTAGAAAAGAAGAACCCAGAAACGAATATACTAAGACTTCAACTGCATGGGCATTCTCGCGTGACTCGACATCGGATGAAGCTGAACATAATATCTGACGAACCCTTCACACCTGCCTTAAAGGTTGGATGCGTCTCACTCCGAAACCGAAGACACCTGTGATGACCCACGTGCTCGATCAACGCAGGAAATGAACCCGACAACATGCCCGAAAGCCGGTTCGAACGACCTTCCCTTGTAATGGGGTCGGGAGTCCTACCAGGCACCTCAAGAAACGAACACTGTGTGGGGAAACTGCGCCGCCTCCGTCTCGGGGCAGTCCACATAGCCGTAGGCGATGCTGCGTCCAACCTCCCGCCCAGCCTCGCCGGCCTACCACATACCCCTCGCCTGTGTGCTCCTCACCATCCCATCTTCACCTCCTCCTGCTCCTTTTCCTCCTCTGCCTTCTCGTGGGGCGTCATGGCGCCGTCCTTGTGCTGACCATCCACCGAGCCACAGTGGAGAGACCCCCGTCCTCATCCTCATCCTCGTCATCTTGCCCCTCGTCCTCCTCCTCCTCCTTCTCATCATCATCATCAGCATCATCATCGTCATCATCATCATTCTCATCATCATCAGCATCATCATCTGAATCATCATCATGAGCATCATCATCATCATCATCATCAGCATCAGCATCAGCATCAGCATCCGCATCCGCATCAGCATTAGCATCAGCATCAGCATCAGCATCAGCATCAGCATCAGCATCAGCATCAGCATCAGCATCAGCAGCATCATCATCATCATCATCATCATCATCATCATCATCATCATCATCATCATCATCATCATCATCATCATCATCATCGTCATCCCCCTCCCCCCCCACCCCTCCCTCTCCCATTCCCGCTCGTCTTTCTCCTCCTCCTCCTTTCCCTCCCCCTCCTCCTCCTTCTTCCCCCTCCTCCTCCTCCTCTCCTCCTCCTCCTCCTCCTCCTCCTCCTCCTGCTCCTCCTCCTCCCCCTCCTCCCCTTTTCCCAGCCCTCTACCCCCTTATCGTCCGTCCTCCCCTCATCGTCCTCTTCCTCCTTCTCACTCTGGCCCTCCTTGCGACGCCTGCAGGAACACGTGAATGTAATTCCCTCTGCCCTTCTTCCTCACTCTCCTTCTTTTTCAACATCACTCCATCCTCCCTCGCCCCAGATTTAATAGTATCATCATCAGCATCATCAGCAGCATCATCGTCATCATCAGCAGCATCATCTACACAACAACAACAACAACAACAACAACAACAACAACAACAACAACAACAACAACAACAACAACACCAACAACAACAACACCAACAACATCGACCTATTGCCTTCTGATCCTCCAACCACCGCCTGCTCCGGCTTACTCCAATTCCTGCCTCGTCCTCCTCATCATCCTCCTCGTCCTCGTTGTCGTCCTCGTCGTCGTCCTCCTGCTCCTCCTCATCCTCCTACTCCTCTTCCTCCTCCTAAGACCCTGCATCATCCTGATCGCTATTCCCCTCCTCATCCTCCTCTTCTTCCTCATCCTTCTCCTCCTCGTACTCTTACCTGTACTCCTAATCCTACTCGTACTCCTGCACTCCTCATGTTCTCACCTGTTCCTCCTCCACATGTTTTTGCCGTTAGGCCAACATGAGCGACGAGGCTGTTGCGGTCCTCTCTGAAAGAATCCGATTGCGCAGCACTCCGCAAAACCCGTTGCATGCAGACTAAGCGGTGTAGGAACTGCAAAGAAACACAGGCAAGTGGAGAGGCCCCGGGGGGGCACCAGATATTAGATCTGTAGGCGTCGGCAAGGCAGCCCGCTCCCGCCCCAGCCAGCTCCATCGGTAGAGCCGATTCCGCTCGAGAAAGGGCCATCCTCGACGGCAATCGAAACCCTCACAGACGGCAACTGACAACCAACTTCTCGAGGCCGTGATGCAGCTGACCTGGTACGCCGAATCTGCTGTGGGCTGGCGCAGGCTGTGTTGGCCTGCGTTGGCTGGTCTGGGCCACCCACTGCACCTCTGAGCCCGCCACCCGCCCACTTCCCTTGACAAAAGGGCCCTGACCGAGAGCAGTCCTGGTCCTCACAGAGGGCGGTTGGTGAGAATTGCTAGCAAGGGCCTCGGTGCCGATGCCTCTGAGTGCGAACAGCTCTGGCATTGGATTGAAGCATCCGCTCCTGCTCCTCCTCCTCCTCCACCTCTGAGCGTCAGGATACCATCTTCTCTCCTTAATGGCGTCCAATCGGCGCCAGTCTCTGAAATGGCGCTGGAAGCAGCCCGGTCCCTACACTCAGGGGCAGGCTGGTCCTTACACTAAGTTGCCGTGGTAGGCCCAGCCCTCACACTCAGGGGCAGCCCAGTCCCTACACTTGCTTGCTGTGGGATCTGGTAGGAACCCTCCTCATCCGAGAGGCGACGCGCCAAGAGCACGCCACGGTCGATGCAGTGCTCAACTTGTGCTGATACTGGTGCGGGCAAAGGTCCTCCTTCCTCCTCTCATCTACCGACTCCGTACCTCCTCATCCTTCCACGAGATTGAATACATCGGTGGGGCGAGCCTTCCAGAACTCAAGGCGCACTCGCAAGGCAAACACAGACAAGATTACTACTGCTGGCCAATACATCCAATCAGATACGGTCAGACCTAGCCGACCAGCCATAACTAACTGGGAGAGCTGTGGTCCTTACCCCCCTGGGGGAACCCATCGCATCGACGATCTCTCGAGAGGGGTATCGAAATCGATGGGTCCCCCAGGGGGGCAAGGACCACCGCTCCCCCAGCTGTGGCTGGCCTGCCCAGGGCAGAAGAGCATCCTTCCAGAACGTGACACCCTCGGCCGGCCAAGACACCAAACCATGAGATCACTCGAGAGTATGCCCTCCCCCAGGGCGCACAAGAGCAGCCAACAACACACACAACGCACTCGGGTATATTCCCTCCCCGCGTCGACCTCTCCCTCGACCTCCCCTGCTCCGGTCCGACCGCAGCGGCAACAGGGACAGCACATCCAGTGGACCAGGCCACGCGAGAGACTGGGGCCCCGACGGAACTGCTAGGCGGTGGTGGCGCCATCCACCGCGGCGGTGGCACCATCCAGCGCGGCGGTGGCACCATCCAGCGCGCCGCGGTCGAGGCGGCAGGCGGGCGACGGCAGCGCAGATGGTGCGCACATGGGGAGGACGGGCGAGGGAGGAGGAGCGGCCGCGCGCAGGAGGGGGAAGAAGGGGGCACGGTCAAATGAGAAGCAGTCTCTTGGAGAGCCCCGAGGAAGCAGGCAGCTTCCCACCCCCCTCGCCGTGTGGCCGAAGGCCGTCGAGCGCACGTAGCCCACGCACCTGGCGGGCCGGGCGCGCGCAGGAGGCGCCGACGTGCCGGGGATGCCGCAGGGCTGCTGTCCGTGTTCTGCGGTCGGCCGAAACAGCAGCCCGTCTAGGCTACCTCGGGCCTGGCTGGCCACATTTATGTATATGTATAATTATACATATATATTATATATATATATATATATATATATATATTCCGTGGCTCGGCTATACACACCTTGTATATATGGTCCAGGGCTTGGGCCCCCCCCCCAAAAGCTGATGCCATTGGCCCCCCCCCCCCGCGCGATGGTCCCCCCCGCCCCCCCCTGTGGGCGTGGCGTGGTGCTGCGCTGCGGTGCCCCCTCCCCCCCCCTGTGGATGTGGTGTGGTGCTGTGGTGGTTCAGAGGTGGGCGTGGCGTGGTGCTGCGCTGCGGTGCCCCCCTCCCCCCCCCCCTGTGGATGTGGTGTGGTGCTGGGGTGGTTCAGAGGTCGTCGTCGTCGTCGTCGTCGTCGTCGTGGTCGTCCTCGTCGTCGTCGTCGTCGTCGTCGTCGTCGTCGTCGTCGTCGTCGTCGTCGCCGTCGTCTCGTCGTCATCGTCGTCGTCACCGCGGCCGCCGCCGGCGTCGTCGCCGCCGCAGCCGTCGTCGTCGTCGTGGTCGTCGTCGTCGTCGCGTCGTCGTAGTCGTCGTCGCCGTCGCCGTCGTCGCCGTCGCCGTCGCCGTCGTCGCCGTCGCCGTCGCCGTCGCCGTCGCCGTCGCCGTCGCCGTCGCCGTCGCCGTCGCCGTCGCCGTCGTCGCCGTCGTCGTCGTCGTCGTCGTCGTCGTCGTCGTCGTCGTCGTCGTCGTCGTCGTCGTCTGGGACCATACCATCTGGGGGGGGGGGGGGCCCGAGGAATCCTGGGACCATACCATCTGGGGGGGGGGCCGTGGGCCCGGAGCCCGGGATCATATATATATATATATATATATATATACACATATATATATATATATATATTAGAACCACAAACAAGCGCGCTTCGCGCGCGCTCAGGTTCTAGCCTCTTTCTTCCTTTTCGCTTTCCTCCTCGTCATCGTCCCCCTCCTCGTCGTCCTCGTCGTCGTTCCCCTCCTCCTCCTTGGGCTCTTTCTCCTCCGCGTCCTGCCAGGAGCTCGCTCCGGCAGCCCCATGGGGGAATGGGCCTGCCCACTCCCAGGTCCTTCTTGGGGCCATCTTGGGCAGTCTTGGGCGACTCGGGGCCTTCTTGGGCCTTCTTGGGGCCTGGTTTGGGGCTAACTTGGGCCGTCTTGGGCAGCCTTTGGGCCGTCTTGGCCCCCTCTTGGGCTGTCTTGGAGGCCTCTTGAGAATGTCTGAAGCTCTCTTGTTGAGCAGGGACCGACCGTCCCGGCATTCCTATAGTCCTACCACGAACCCCCAAAATGTTCTTATAACAAAAGCAATGTTCTTAGAACATTAATCCGATGTGTCAAAACAAGACAGTCCCAACCAGACATGTTCGAAGAACAATTCGTGAGAACCACAAAAGGTTCTTATCACATTGTTTGGTAGGGCTAAAGGCACGCCAGGACGCTTCGCCACTGCTTATCTTGGGCGCCTCTTGGGCCGTCTTCAATGCCGTGAAGGCCGAAAAGTAGCATATGATAAAAATGCACGCTTTCCCGTAGGAGTTCAACGATTGTGGCTTCTTGGGGCCCTCCTGGGAGTGCTCTCTTGGAGGCCTCTTGGGACGCAATCTCCACCTCCTCCTCCTCCTCTTCCTCCTCCTCCTCCTCCTCCTCCTCCTCTTCTTCTTGCTCCTCCTCCTCCTCCTCCTCCTCCTCCTCCTCCTCGCCCACCCGCTCCTCCCCCAACCGCACCGCAGACACCCCCGCCTCTGCAACAAGGGAGGGTAACCCGCCGCACCTGCCGTCGCGCCAGATGGTCTCCATGCCGTGCAGCGGCACGTCCGGCGAGTCCACAAGCAGGCACACGAGTTTGCGCTGCAAGCCTGCCACGGCGCGGCAGCCAGCGACACATACGGTACAGCCGGGGTTGCTGCCCTCCTCCTCCTCCTCCTCCTCCTCCTCCGCCTCCTCCTCCTCCTCCACCTCCTCCTCCCTCGGGTGTTGCTAGAAGTGCCCCTAGCCCAAGGTGCCCCTAGCTTTTCGCTCAATTTTGGAGCCCTGGGGCCCTCTGGGCCTCGTGAGGGGTGCTCTGGAGGCCGCCTGGGCCACCCCGAAAATCCTGGGGGTACCTTGGGCCAGGGGCACTTCTAGCAACACCCTCCTCCTCCTCCTCCTCCTCCCTCCTCCTCCTCCTCCTCCTCCTCCTCCTCCTCCTCCTCCTCCTCCTCCTTACGGTGCAAGACAAGGACCACCTCGGGCTCAGCATGGGCCTCTGGCGCTCGAGCCGCGCCTCAGGTCTGGGTCGGGGGACCCCCTCGCGGCCGAGGCTCGCCGTGGCCAGACGAGCCCCCGTCGCCCCTCCGTCGGCGCCGGGGCAGCACAATGCCTGCTCTCGGGGATGGACAGACCCCCCTTTAGCGAAACGTGGTCCAAACCTGGCGGGCGCAAGCCTGGAAAATGACGGCCACGGCGCCCTCTCGAGAACCGAACTTGGACAATTCACTAGTCGACGTGTCACTGTTGGGGGCTCTGTCCACCCCCGACGCACGGTCAAGAAGTCGTGCGGTGAGGGACAGCCGCGACCTGGACTGGCATGCCCTGATGGGGTCGGGGGAAACGAAAGTGGGGGGAAAGCAAAGGGCAAGGTTCGAGAAGCAGCTCACGTAGCTAATTCTCGCAGCGCCTCCTCGCGCCGGGAGGCGCCCATGTATCGAGTAATGGGCCCAGCGGCGGGGCCGAAATCAGCTGCACGAAGCAGATTTCGTACCCCCCCCCCTTTCCCTATCCCCCGCTTTCGTTCGGCCCTGTGGCAGCGGCAGCACAACGTGAGAGCGACTGGATCGCTGACTTCAGCGGCCTGGTGACCGTGCTAATGCCCAGCGGTGCCCGCTTCCCGTGTGTCGTGGCTGGCCTCACGGGCGTGACGGAGCCTCCTCCTCCTCCTCCCTCCTCCCTCCTCCTCCTCCTCCTCCTCCTCCTCATCCTCCTCCTCCTCCTCCTCCTCCTCCTCCTCTTCTCCTACTCCACCTCCTCCTCTCTCCTCCTCCTCCTCCTCCTCCTCTTCGATCTCCGCCTCTTCCTCCTCCGCCTCCTCCTCCTCCTCACACTCCTCCGGTTCCTCCTCCTCCTCCTCCTCCTCCTCCTCATCCTTCTCGGGCTGATCATCCCCCCTCCTTTCACTCCCCAGCCCTCCAGCCCTCCAGCCGCACTCCCGCATGAGACATCCCCCCCAAAAGAAACACCTGCCCGAAGGGTGGCACCACCATCGGGGTGCTGACAGCAGCCGGGTGCGACGACGACGGACCGTCCGGAGGGGAGGACACGCTCGGACGAGAAAGGCGCCCGCAACGGCAGACATCATCCGCACGGGCGAGGCGACGGGAGCGAGTACAGCCAAGCTACTTCCACAAGGACCGCTACGATCGACCCGCATCGCAAAGACGCACGGTAGGTTGCAAGGGCCCCGGGGGGCCGCGTCGATACTTTGCGAGTGGGGCGCGGCCAACGAAAGTCGCTGCGGATGGGCCAGAGGGGCAATGATGCAAGGGTACCCTTGAGACAACTGCCCATCCATATTATGCGGTTTGGCTCTATATATATGTATATATATATATGTATATACCTGTTGTAGTACAGCGCCTGGACGCGCGAGGGACGCTGGAAGACCAAGCATGGAATGCCGACGCTGGCGCCCACGCCGACGCCGTTGCCGACGCTGGCGCCCACGCCGATGCCGCCGACGACGACAAGACAAGACAAGAGCCCATGGAGTCCTCTGAGGTCAGTCCCACACGTGAAACCGCAGAACTCTGGGTAGGCAGCTGCACCGCCAACTGCTGACGTTACGTAGCGCAGAGACAGCCACGCTCTGCTCAGGGCAGCACTGGCCCTGGCTGGGGTTCCCCCCAAGGCACGCAGCCTCGGATTGGGGTCCCAGCTCTTAGGCGCCAGGTCGTCCTCCCTTCCCCCGCCCCGACCTCCCCCGACTCCCGCCCCGACCTCTTCCTTTATAATGATTCTGCCGCGGAAGCAGCATCACTGGTATGGATGGCAGATCAGCGGCGTAACCCTGCTCCACGGTGCTAGTCGCACCACTGATCATGCTCTGTGAAACCACCCCTCTCTCAAGCAAACTGGCGAGCCGCTCGCTATGGGCGAGCGACCTGGGCAAAGAAGTTGCAAAAGAGCGGCTTACTGTGGCGTTGCTGCTGGACTATGCCTCGAAACTCAGGCTGCTCTGTCCAGCATGCGTGAAACCTCGCGCTCAAGCGGGCCTCGCGGCTGCGACCCGCCCACGTAGCCCCCGCCCTCTGCCTCGATCGCCACCGACAGCGTCTCGAACAGCTTCGCTCCCACCGTGTTGTGGCGATCTATGTCCAAGTAGAGCGTCGCCATCTGGTCTGCCTGCTCCTTCTTCTTCTGCGTCTTCACGCGGCAGTGCTTCACGATCCGACTGATGTGCTGCAACGAGAGCTCGCGCACCGCGTTGTTGAGCCGCTCCATGATCTCTTCCACCGCCGTGGCCACGTCCTTCTCCAGCGCGCCCTTCTCCTTCGCCGCGCAGTGCACAATGAGCGCCATGAAGACGTGAAGGTGAGGCGCTCCTCGACCGCGGTAGTCTGGGGCCGCGCTCGACTCGGCCTCCTTCTTCATCTCCTTGCTGCGCTCGTCGCACAGCTTGCCAGCGCGCACCATCGCCTGCGCGACTCCTGCCGTCACCGGGGACGAACCACTTGCTGAAGACTCATGCGCCGAGGTCGGCCACCTCCCGTGCCGTGATCAGCAGCAGCTTGGCGCACGCCTCCTGCAAGCCTTTGTGCCCCGTGCGCGTCTTCTTGGCCACGCCGCCGCTCTTCTTGGCGCCGCCTCCCGTGCCCTTGCCTTCTTCCCCGTCGGCCTGGCGCTTCGCCGCCGACGGGCTGTGCCAGTCTGGGAGCTGCAACGCGCAGCCCGATCCCGAACTGCCCGACATCGTCTCCTGCGGTCGCCTGCCCACGCACTCGCACACGGAAATCCTCCAAGGAAGATGTTCTCTGAGGTGCGTGCACAACTCAGGAAAGTCTTGCGCAGAAAAATCGCAACACGGACAGCCTAAACAGCCAGCAGACATTTCGGGAACCAGGGCCGATGGGGCCTTTCGTGAAACAATGTTTTCGCCTGAGAGATCCCTGCAAGCGCCGACGCGCAGTCTCGCGGGTCGAGAAAACTCGGGAACAACAAATGCAGACATTAGTCCGCGTTAAAACAGAGGCGAGGTTTCTAACGCGATGGGCAAAACGCAAATGATTTAGGAGGCCTTTCTTCGCGAGGAAATCACATCCACACGAAACTCCCTCAGAACTCACCCAACACTTTAAATCCCTCACCTCCTCGGCATGGGGGGCAGGGGCACGGGGGGGCGGCGCCCGCGGCAGCAGAGATAGACGCCAGAGAAGGAGGGGGCCTCAGACCAGGAGGGGGGGGGGGGGGGGTCCTAACTGCAAATTGTTGCTGACGAATATCCTGAAAATCTATTCGGCTAAAGTCCTCACAAGCCTCACTATCCCTAAACAACTCGAAGTGAGACGCGGAAGCCCTAAGGATACGATGCTCCAGTCGCTCTGCCGCGTACGTGGGATCCCTCGCAATCTGGATCACAAACGGCGAAGCATATTCAGTCGGTTGACCATAAGGGACCTGGGGGCACTGGGGGCACGCGGGGACGTCACCAAAGAGCACGCACATAACTTGCAGATGTCGTTGGGGCTCAGATGCCCAACTCTTATACATGTTCAGACGTCTCATCCACAAGTCGAGCCAACTCTCTCCGAAACGCCAGTGACGAAGCAACTGCACAGTGTTCATGTGTTTTGGATGCGCTCCGCCCCAGCCGGTGGCTTCACCAAGCATGGCCACCTTGCAATGCCCAGCTGAAGCTTTGTCTAGCCTGCCACAGTCCGCACCCGTGACAGCGAACCCTTCCAGCCCTGTCTTGAGGGTGTTCAACACATAAGATAAGCTTGCAGTAAACTGCGACGTATGCGGCATGGAATCCCTGAGAGGCCCCAAACACAGTCAAGCGAACAAAAACTGCCCCGTGCGGCCCGAATGCGATTATCAATTTCATGGTCACAGCTCTCCCTTTGTAGTAAGTGCGGCCCCAGGTACCTACATTTATCTTTAGCGACCCCTTCCAGTCCTTGGTCGACCTGCCTCCTCAGCAACTGCGTGGAATGATTGCGATGTTGGCAGACATAGAAGAGGAACTCCTGCTTGCCAAGATTTTGGGCAAACCCAGCAGTGGCGAGACATTCGTCAAACCTCTCATCTACTCTGCGGAGCAACTGGGTAAACCCACTGAAAGTCGCCTCAGGCGTGGCCAAAATAGTCTTACATGTACCATCAGCAGACTTAGTTAAACTACCCTCCGCGCTCCATGGCCCCCAGGTAGCCGTAAGAGCGCGGGCTTGGGGGTCAAAATCATTCAGGGAGCGGTTCCAGGCCATCACAGGCCATCGAAAACAATCCAGGAAACAGCGGACAATAAACGGGTCACCCACTGTGCCCCCCTTGTGTAGTTTTGATTGTGATACTGCGGCCCTCGCCTTGCAAGGTTACTGCACTTGTCTGAACACGCTGCATGCATAACGAAGTGTCCTCCGCCTCCGCCCCCCGCTCCACCGCCGACCCCATAGCCTGCCATCGCGTGGAGGCAAGCGCGTTCGTCACATCTTTACACACGCAATGCGTACTGCCGCTCTGTCGGAGGCGCCAGGTCAGACAATTCACTACTAAAATAGCCCCTCCCTCCTGCGATGGCGATGGATACCGTGCTCGACATTGGCCGGCGATACCTTCAAGCGAGTGGCGAAACAAAACTCCCCCGATCGCGGGTAAAATGCGCATGGCTCGACGCGCCTTCGGGCCAGGGGTGGAATCCCACCAGCCCTCTGGGCGTCGGTGGTTTAGCGAGTTTCCTCTTCCACCCCTCCTTCTTCCCCTTCGGGGAAGGGTTTACCCCTCCCCCTACCCCCTCCCCACTGGCCTGGACACGGGGGCCCCGCGGCGCGCTGGAGCGCCCCAGATGGCCCAAGACGGCCCCAAGGCCCTCAGGGAGCCCAAGATACCCCCCAAGATGGCTCAAGATAGCGCAAGGTGCCTCAAGATGGCCCCCATGATGTTCCAAGACGTTCCAAGATCTCCCCAAGACGGTTCCAAGTGCCCACAAGAGCACCATTAGGATGCATCCAAGAGGCCAAAATGCTGCAAAACCATAGGGAAATCAATGTGTTTGGTGTTCTCACCTTTTCGCTTGCGATGCACATCCGAGGCGTCAAGATGGCTCCAAGATGGCTCAATATAGCTCCAAGAAGGGCCCAAGAAAGCCACATGACTGCGCCAAGAGCGCCGAAGAGCGCTCCAAGAGCGGTCCCAGAGCGGCACAGGAGACGATGTTTGGAGTTCCTGGGGGGGGGGGGGGGGGGGGGGGGGGGGGGGGGAATGTGGTGGTGGTGGTGGGTGGTGTGTGTTGTGTGTGGTGGTGGGTGGGTGGGGGGGGGGGGGGGGGGGGGGGGGGGGGGTCTTCATTAAGGAACCCTACTTCCTTGACCGATGTCCTCCAAGATTGCCCCAGCAGGGCCTTCAAGGGCGCCCAGACGGGTCCGCAGGAGGCCCCAAGAGGCCGCAGGATGGCCCCAAGATGGCCCCAAGAGGCCCCCCCAAGAGGCCCCCAGGAGGCCCCCAAGAGACCCCCAAGAGGCCCCAAGAGACCCCGCACCCCCCCCCCCCCCCCCCCCTCCCCCCACCAGATGCACCCAAGTGGCAAACATTGCCCCAAGAAGCGCACAGGAGGCACCCAAAGGCCCCCAAAGGCCCCAATATGGCCCCAAGAGGCGCCAAGAGGCCCCCAGGATGCCCCAAAGAGGGCCCCGAACGGCCCACAGAGGCCCCCCCGAGGCACCCAAGACGCCGAAAAGCCCCTCAGGACGACCCTCAACTCGCCTGGGCGTCGTTTCTGGACGGGCTGGTGGGGATACGCGAAGCGTCTAGAATTCTGCAGAAGACCCGCTCCGCGGGACCATTGCCAATACAGGGACACGCAATTATGTGCTCTCATCTTGCTCAAGCCCAGGCGGAGCGGGAAATTAACCTCGTTCATCGGGGGAAGGGCGAAAGACCCCGTCCCCCGACGCTGAGTCATTCTCCAGTTGGGCAGAATCAACATCAGCCAGATCTCGCAAGGCAGAGTGCCAGGCGGGACCACGCGCCTCTTGGGCGCGAGGCAAAGGTAACGCTTCAGCTCCCGAATGACATCGTCGACAAGCTCCTTGAGCTCTTCTACGTCGGCGTCCTCATAGCGAATCCCTTCTCTCTGCTGCCGCCACTCGCCCCACTGGATCTCCTGGGCCTTCATGCCCCCCAAGTGGCCCTCCTTCCGCCAGGTGTCTAACCACTCCGCCGCGGACGGCGGCGCGGGCGCGAAGGGTCTGCCGTCGCGCCTCTTGGGCCCAGACCTGCAGTAAGCGACCGCCCTGCGCGCCCGCGTAGCCTCCGCCTGGCGATCCCGACGCCGAGCAGAGTCCGCCTCCTCCATCAGCGCAGCACATCATTGTCGATTGTGTTGTCTGCGCGTGATGGCGAGCGCCTTGGAGATCGCGTTCAGCTCCTCATCTATGCGACCTGCCGCCTCCTCCGTCAGGCCGAGCTTGCTGCCTCTCAGCTGGGCCCGCTCGCGGAGGAGGCGGCGCCTCTCCGCGGCGAACGACGACCAGGGCTCACCTAGTCCCTGCTGCTCGCCGAAGTGCTCACTCGCCAATGTGTGAACACACTTCTCCAAAGCCTCGAAAATCGTATCAGGTGGGTCCCAATCAATCAGGGAGCGCAGGGGAAGGGATGGCATCGCCAATCGTACGTCCGATACAAACTGCTCCCGTCCTCGGCCAGTGCGCACTGCTTCCATCATAGCCGTCTGGTCCCATCTCGTGACTTCTGCCGTCCTCTCCGCAAGGTTCGGCATGCCGTACTTTCGGTACCCGATGCAGCACTGGATGGGGAGATGGTCCTTCGGCGGTGCGCCCTTGATTGCCTGCTGCTTCGCCCCCAGCGACGGCAGGACCTGGCAGCTACGCACCAGCGGGCGCATGCCCTGCGGCAGGACCATGTAGCCGATGCGGCTGGACCCCTTCTCCCCATAGAACGTGTCGGTCACTCTCACCGTCGCACTGCCGAGGTACAGGTGGTGGGCGTCGCATAGCTTTCGTAGTCGAGAACCAGCCCCGTCCTTGATCCGCTCACGCGTGGGGGCGCCCACCACTTCGGGAGACATATGTCCCAGTTCACCCTTCATCCCAACATTGTAGCCGACACCGTCGTTCAAGTCCATGTATATCACTGGGGTGCATCTCGCAGGAACACACGCGAGTACACCCGCGATCCAGCTGATTAGTAGTTTGCATATCCCCAGATATTGGCTGCGTTTCCTAGTCCTCCCCTGCGGTGGGAAATACATACTCACAGCCAGCACATCCACATTCTGAAAATTCAATATCGCTGCTAGCGATCTGCCTGGCGCGCCTGGAGGGCTAGGCCACGTGCGTTTCACCGCATCGTTGCCCGCTCTGGGAGGAAACCCAATGGCTACCCCGCACGCTGGATTACTGTACGATGCGGGTCGTCTCCCTCCCTCACAAGGCGCCTTTAAAACAATCCTGCCTCCTGCCCTTCTGCTGTGAACCTGCCCGTCAGCGCCGCTGCGAGCCGCCTTCGTTCCCGCCAGCGGGACAAGATAGAAATTGCGGCACTCATCCATTATCTCTTCCAGTCGGTCGGCTCTACTCGCCCAGCACGGGTTCCAACCCACACATCGCAAGTACTGGGGGGCCGCAGCGCGCCGCCATCAGCGGCCTGGCTGGCCGCCTCCATCATGCCACACAGTCATGTGTGGCGGCCCAAAAGCAAAGAAACATCTCGGGTGCGCTGCCTGCCTGCAAACCGCATGCCTTGGGCCCGGCAGGCTGACGACGACGACGACGACGACGACGACGACGACGACGACGACGATGACGACGACGACGACGACGACCGCCCCCCCCTGGCCAGTGTCCAACAACGACAGCGACGACGTCCAGCGTCCCCTGGAAAGTGTTTCTTTTTCCCAGGGACTTGAATGCAGGACGAAGATGCCAGAGGGCGAACAGGAGCAGCAGGACACAAGGCGCGGGATCAGGACCAAGGAACAGGAGAACGGTGATTGGGGGATCAAGACGACGGGGGTGCTAAGGGTGCCCCTGGCCAAAGGTGTCCCCAGCTGCTCACTCCGTCTTGGAGCCCCGGGGGCCCTCTGGGCCTCGTGTGGGGTGCTCTGCAGGCCTCGGTGACCTCCTCGGAAATCATGGGGGCACCTTGGGCCAGGAGCACCTCTAGCGTTACCCGAAACCACGGTGCCGAGACTGCTACTCCCGGGACCTCTCCCAGGGTGCGCTCTGACAAGAATTCCGAGGCGAGTCCCCCCGTGGCGACGAGGGCCTCCCACAAGGCCCCAAAAAGGCCGAGAAAGAGCCAAGGACAGCGGTGTCGGTGCCCTTCCCCCCGCCGGCGTCGTCGTCGTCTTTGTCGTCGTCGTCGTCGTCCTCGTCCTCGTCCTCGTCACTGTCGTCGTCGTCATCGTCGTCGTCGTCACTGTCGTCGTCGTCGACGTCTTCGTCGTCGTTGTCGTCGCCCGCTGAGTGGCGAGGTCATGTTCTGCGCCGCCCTCGTGTCGCGCGCTTCTTAGGTCGACCCAAGAGGGGGTCCAGCTGACAGGGGGTGGTGCAATAGATTTGGGGCAACTGTGCTGCAGACGTACTGCCCCGAAGAATTGCAGCGCATCGCATTGCAACGGACGCACTGCACGCGACAGCCCAGCAATACATCTCGCGCCCTGGAACGCATTGCACGCCCCAAATATCTCTCTCTAAATATATATATATATATATATATATATATATGGCAACCCCACGAATCTAGTGCACCACACCTCTTGCACCACCCCCCTGCCGCTGGACCCCCTTTCGGGTCAACCCGCCTCGTGTCACGCGCTCCCCCCCGGAGCTCCGGCACGCCCTTCGAGCGCTCGGCCGCTCGAGCGCGCGGGCGCGGCGGCCTGCTGCGAGGGGCGGCGTTCGGGGGGGGGCCGCCCCAGGGCCGGGGGGTACCATCGAGCCTTAGGACAAACATATTTTTTTGAAAAATGAAAACTCATAAATTACTCACAACTGGTCAACCATGGACACCAGACTGCTTTTTGACTATTTTTGAGCATTCCTCCTGTAGAGAGCAGGCCCGACTTAAATCGAGACTGAGTCGGCGATACATCGTCGATAGGTCGGCTACTGTAGGTTCGTACGGCGTCGGCGTGCGCAAAGGTTTGTGATACCGCGCAGATGGTTCAAATTTGAATCGATCACGGCCCCGATCGTTCAAGGTTGACTTCCGTCGGATTCAGTGGTGTCACCGCGTCCCTCGGTGCTTCCACGTCGCAGAACTCAACCTTAAACGCCTTCGCTGGCGTCGCCGGCGCACCAACGCCGCATGAACCTACCGTACAGTCCTGGGCGACGCGGGCTACCCAGACCCCCTCGCGCTGCGACAAAAATCACGACGGGAGTTTCTGTCGTGCTGTCTTCGGCTTCCAGGGGCCCCTGCCGAGCCTCGGGACCGTCAACAAAGGGCCCAGGATGAAGAACTGGTCCCGGGGAAAGGGTCGAGACCTCTGGAGGTCGACGTTGTGGAGGAAGAGGAGGAGGAGGAGGAGGAGGAGGAGGGAGGAGGAGGAGGAGGAGGAGGAGAAGGAAAGAGGAGGAGGAGGAGGAGGAGTGAGGAGAAGGAGAGGGAGAAGAGAGAGGAGGGAGGAGGGAGAGGAGGAGAAAGACGAGGAAGAGGAGGAGGAGGAGGAGGAGGAGAGAGGAGGAGGAGGGGAGGAGAGGAGGGAGGAGGAGGAGGAGGGGGAGGAGAGAGGAGGGAGGGAGGAGAAGGGAGGAGGAGGAGGGAGGAGGGAGGAAGGGGAGTCTGGAGGAGGGAGGAGGGGTCTGGGTAACTGTCGGCCCCCATCGGCGATCACTCTGCGATGGGGGCTCGACGCGTCCCCCCCTGAGCCTATCCTCTGGCCGTTCTCGGGTCATGCCTCGCGCCCCTGGCGGCCGTCCGGGGCGATCTGGGCACCCCTGGCACGCCCCCGGCGAGCCGCAGCCGCTGGAAGGCACCCAGAGGCTGGAAAGCCGCCGAGCTCCGACCCCGAGCACGGGTCGGACATCTGCCTCCTCCTCCTCCTCCTCCTCCTCCTCCTCTTCCTCCCTCCTCCTCCTCCTCCCTCCTCCTCCTCCTCCTCCTCCTCCCCCTCCCCCTCCCCCTCCCCCTCCCCCTCCGACGAGAACGTCCGAAACCTCGCAATTACCTCGAACCCCGAGCACGGGCCGGACGTCTGCCCCTGGACTCTCCTGGGGCGCACGCTGCCCAGCATCTCGAGGCGCATCTCGCCGCGGCCACGAGGGCGCCCCCGGGGCGACCAGGATCAGGAGGGAAGGAAACACACAGACACAATGAATCGTCGATTCCCAGAAAATATGGAAAATTTGGGAAGTGGGGGGGAAGACAAAAATCCCAAAAATATGGGAAAATATGGGGAATCTGGTTATTTGTGTGTATTTATTTGTGTGTCCCAGTTCCCCTTCACAGGAACCTCCAGGGAGCGCATCTCGATCCTCGAAGCTCGTGGCCTGGAGCCCCACCCCCCCCTCAACGCCACCCCTGCTGCTGCTCGTCGACCGCACGCAGCAGCTCCAGCAGGTACGGGTCTGGCGGCAGGCGCCACTCGCGCAGGGCGGCCTCGAGCGCGCGCAGGTAGGCGTCGTTGCGGCCCGAGGGCCCCTCGGCCGAGGCGATCACGCTCGCCGTCGCCGCCAGCGGCTCCGGGCCGGCGTAGGCGGCGCTGGCTGGCGGCGCCCGCCGGGCCCCAAGATCTGTGGGCGTGGCAGATTTTTGTTGCGCGGCGGGGCGGCTCTCCCGGCTGCGGGCCCCCGGGGCCATCAGAGGTCGAGCCGGCCCCAAAACTACAGCAGAGGGTGGGGCCCAGGGCCCCCTGCGTGTTGCTGCTCCTGTCGTGCCTGCTGGCCGTCACAGGTCGAGCCGGCCCCCAAAAAACAGCCGAAAGGTGGGGTCCAGGGCCCCCTTCGTATTTGTTTATGTCGTATGACCGTCGAGCAACGTCGGACCTCGGTGTGGAGTGTCGCGAGGGGGGTGGGTGTCTAAGAAGGCGGCGAGGCGTCTGAGAAGGCAGGGGGGGCCCTTAGAAGCCCGTCTTAGAAGGGGGTGAGTTTCTAATAAGGAGGCGAGGCTTCTGAGAAGGCAGGGGGGGCTCTTGGAAGGGCCGTCTGTGGCGGCCCTGCCTCCTAAGCAGCCCCTCCGCCTTCTCGGCAGGCCCCCCCCCTCGCGCCACCACCTTGCAGGCGCCGCCAAGCTGGCGTGGGGCTCGAAGGCGAAGTTGGAAGAAGAAACAACTGCACAAGCACAAGCACTAACTTCCAAAGCTCCGCGCGGCTTCCTTTGATCGGCGCTGGACCCCCCTGAGGCGGCGCCTCCGCCGCGGATCCCGGCGGCAGACATGCGCTGTCATGTGTCTTTCGATGCGCGGTCCCCGGAAGTCCCGCCGCTCTCCCCAGGGCCGGCTTTCCATCCCGAGCCATTCTTTGACTGTCCCGGGGCTAGGCGAGGGCCCCCCGAGGCCGAACACCGCCAAGACCCCGAGCTCTCCTCACGAGGCGAGGAACTCTTGGGAGTCCTGGGGACCTCAGCGCGGAGCTCCCAAATATTGTGTCTGCGCAGTGCTCCCCCTCCCAGAAGTAGAGCACGGCCCTGCCAAGGGGCGTGGCCCGGTCGTCAGGGCAGACCAGCTCGGCCACGGTGCGCACGTAGCCATGTCTCTCGCGCACGTCCAGCTCGGCCAGCACGCCGGGCCAGTCTTCCTCTGGGCGGCGAGCGAGGGAGGAAGGTGGAAAGGAGAAGGCCTCCTCAGAAGGCGGTGGGGCTTCTCAGAAGCCCCCGCGCCTTCTGGGGATTGTTGCTTTGTCTTCGGGGAAGGCTGGGAAAACTTCTCAGAAGGCCGAGGGGCTTCTGAGCCCTCTCAAAGGCCTTCTCCTTCTCACTTCCCCCCTCGCTCGCCGCCGATCCTCGTCCACCTCGAAGGCCACGCCGTCGACGGAGGCGACGGCTTCTTTCGAGGAACAAGAGCCGGCACACGCAGGAACGCCCTGAGCTATGGGCGCGGATCTCGTGGATCTGCGCTGGACTCCACTCCCTGGCGCTCGGAGTGTGGCAGGGCTAGGTCGGGCATGTCCTCCCACAGGCGGAGCTTGGAGGAAGCATGAGAAAACTACCCGAACAGTTCTCCAGAATAACCAAAATCGGCGGTGGACAAACCTCCCTTTAGAAAAACCTCCCCTTAGTGAAAACGACCTACTGCCGAAATCGACGGACCTGGACCCGCAGAAACGACGGCCGCGACGCCCTCTCGCGAACGGAAAACGGCCAATTCCTTGATCGACGTGTCAGGGTAGGAGGTCTGCCCACCCCCGACAAAAATAGCACAAAAACGTCCCCAGACTGTGCTTGAACCTTTTTGTTGAAGACTCCTCCTGTAGAGGGGCATGCCCGACTGGACGCCAGGGGCGGCGCCGATGAGGCGCCGCTGGAGCGGGCGAGGTCTAAGTCGGTCCTGTCCCCCTACAGGGGGATTTCGGACGCTTTTTTTGTTGTTCTTGTTTGTTCTGATTATTTAATGCCCTAAAAGACTCAACCATGGCCGAAAGAATCGTCCCCAGACTACTTTTTGACTATTTTTGGATGCTCCCCCTGTAGAGGGACAGGCCCGACTCCAGGCGAGCTCCGAGCCATCCGCGCAGAGCTCCGCGACGGGCCTTCGGGCCGGCGCTCGGGCCTCCGGCGGCGCCGATCTCGGGGCGAGGCGGGCACCCCCCTCGGGGGATCTCCAGACCCGGGTCCATTCAGACCCGGGTCAGCAGGAAGCCAAAAACTGCCAGGCAAGGGAAAAAAAAAAGAACTGCAACGCAGGTCTTCGCAGACCCGGGCCAGCCAACATGTGCGGCCGCCTCGCGGCCAGGAGCGGCTCGCGAACCCGGGTTAGCCTCGAGGGGGTCTTCGCAGGATCCTGCAGGATCTGGTGCCGTGGCTGACCCCCGGTTGCATTGACCCGCCTGTATAGGGGGGTCGGGAGCCTTGATATCAAGGCTCCCGACCCCCGAACGAACGCCCCCGGCCGGGCGCAGCTGCCGGAGAGCACCCCGAGGCCGGCACACCGCGGGAGATGACGACCTACCACCCAGACATCGGGCGCCTCGAAAAAATCGAGACGAAGGTTTTTCGCAATGTTTGGCCTCGCGGGGCCCTCGCCGGGCCTCGGGACCGTCAAAAAACGACTCGGGATGGAAAACCGGTCCCGGGGAAGTGGTCGGGGGGTCGGAAGCCCGGGTCTCGAAAAAAATCGAGACGTCGGATGTCTGGGCAGACCGCCCCAACCCAAGCCGAAGACCCGATGTTCGGGCTTGGGGGGGTGCGGGCTCCAGATGTGCATCTTCGACGCTCTCCGAACCTCCCCCCCCGCCCCGGAAAGGGAGGGCCAACTGGGGCCTTCGGGTTGGGGCGGGGTGGTGTGGTCGGTGGTGGGGAGAGCCGGCGGAGAGGCGCTCGAACGCCCGCGGCGGGGCGCGCCTCTCTCGGACCCAGACGTGCGCGACGCCCTGGCGCTTTATCGACGCGGGGCCCCCCTGTGGAGCTCCCGACCCTCTGCCAAGGGGCCCGGCTTCTCCTCCTAGAAGCCGCTTTGTTGACGGTGCCGAGGCACGGCGCCGGCGAGGGCCCCCCGCGGCCGAGCACGGCCAGGGACCGCCCGTCCTGAGATGTGTGTACGGCGCGATCCTGCCTGGGGGGGGCCGACGACAGCGCTGGTGGAGTTCCTCACCGACGACCGCCGCCGTGTCTTCTTCCTCGCTGCTCCGGTGCCCTGCCCGTCGCCCGCCGCCGCGGCCGCGTTCGCCCCGCCAGCCTCCACCAGCGTCACCACGCGCCCGGGGGCCTCCGGGGTGCCGCGGTGGTCGCAGGAGCGCTGCCAGAAGCGCCGGAGGCTCGGGCGCGCCGAAGAGGAGGGGGCTCTCATCATCTTTCGGCGGCGAGCGCGGGGCGGAAGTGAGAGGAGGAGGGGGAGGAGGAGGAGGAGGAGGAGGAGGAGGAGGAGGAGGAGGAGGAGGAGGAGGAGGAGGAGGGGGAGGAGGGGGAGGAGGGGGAGCAGGAGGAGGAGGAGGAGGGGGAGGGAGGAGGGAGGAGGAGGAGGAGGAGGCGGAGGAGGAGGAGAGGGAGGATGGCGAGTCTCGTGAGGTGGCCGGCCCAGGCCGCGGTGGGGGGGTCATCCTTTTTCGGCGGCGAGCGAGGGAGGGAAGTGAGAAGGGGCGGGCCTTCTCAGAGGGCTCGGAAGAAACCTGGCCTTCTGAGAAGTGTCCTGTTAGCCTCCCCCGGAAACGCAGAAAACCTCTCAGAAGGCCGGGGTGGCTTCTGAGAAGCCCCACCGCCTTCCGAGGAGGCCTTCTCCTTCTTACTTCCCCCCCCCTCGCTCGCCGCCGAATTCCGCGGAGCTCGGCGGCCTGGCGCGGAACGGCCGATTGGCCCAGAACGCGGGACGCGTGGCTGACACGGTTCGCCGCCACGAATCTTTGGTATACAGTGGAGGCCAGTCCACAAGAGACCTTCCACAAGAAACCGAACCCTGAGCCCCCAGGACGTCCATTGATGTTTGGTGTGGGAACGTCACGCCTTCCACCGCGAGAGCCATCGAAACCCACGAAATCCAGGGCACCCTGGAGGCAAGCAGGGCGCTTCTTGGCAGGGGCCTCCACCGCAAGGCAGGCCGCGCAGACACGCCGAGGCAAAAGGGGCGACCCCCGAGCGGGCACCCGCTGGGGGGGGGGGCACCGACACGCGTCGTTTGATGAGGATCCCTGCGCTGCAGGCTTCGGGGGCCTGCTCCAAGGAGGCGCGCTTCGCCCCTTCCGGCGGCTTCCGGGACGCAGCAGAGCATACTGGTACTGTGTGGGTCCTCTTCGGAGGCGTGCGCCGGACAAGCAGTATACAGAGATCTTGTAGCAGATCAGTTCCAGGGAGCTGTGGCCAGCAGACAACACGGAGCTTATACTGCAAGATTTCTCGGCGCGCGCAACGCCCCTTGGGTGGCGACGCACACATAGTATGAGCATGTCGGTGTGACGCCGACCCTAGACGGCTGCGGCAACATAATGCTGAGTGTAAAGCGATGCTTGACTTGGTCATGCCACTGCAGGCGAGGCCAAACGCGGACAAATCGTGCCCCCTCCAATCTCTCTCGCGGCAGGGGATTACGGTCAGTGTCTTGTGCCTAGCGTATCGCTCCGCTCCGCGGGGTGGGAGGCTGGATAACTCGAGACTCGGACGAAAAAGAAAAACAATTGAAAAAGGAAGAGGGGGTGGCCCGAGATCTGGGAGATTTCGTGGCCGCGGTCATGACATCCACACCCCCTCTGACCCTCACATCCCTCCTGGGTAATGCCCAGGGGGGGTCCCTCAAAAAAAATCCTCTCCTAAAGGACACGGGGGCCCCAGAGCACCCCCATGCCCACCAAAACAACACTGAACGTTGAAAGACCTCCTTGAGCTTCCATCCTGGAGCCTCGACTCTCAAGGAGGAACCAGTGGCCCACGGGTGGTGACCCCCCTTTGGCACTCCCCGACCCTCTTCTGTGCGAGGCGGGGTAGGTCGCCCGTGGGTGGCGGATATGGGTATCGACATATATACACACATATATATATACACATATATATATAAATGTATGTGGAAGTGTAGATGAATGAATAAATGAACAAACGAATACATGACTGAAGGGATGAATGAATGAATGTATGTATAATATGTGTATCTGTATGTGTATATGTATGTGTCCATAAACATAAAAATACAAACGTTTATACAGATTGTACAATCACGTAGGCCCCGGGGGTCACGAACATATCTATAACCCTCGCCTGCGAAAATCTCCAAAACTTCGATCCCACCGAGCCTCGACTCTCCGTGGGAGACGGTGCCCCCCCCCCGGGTGTGGCGATCCCCCCCTCGGCACTCCCTCCCCCCACCAGGCCCACCCTCTCTTGGGCGCCCCCGAGGAGGTACCCGCGCACGCACGCCGGGTACGCCCGCCGGTAGGGGAAGCCGGGGCGGAAGATCGGCTGCACGCAAGAGTGACCCTACTTGGGCTTAGGTCGGGCATGTCCTCCTACTGGTTGATGTTTCAAGAAAAACGGAACACTGATGAAACACGCTCAAGCAGAATCGATTGAATAAACAATCAAAAACATCGTCCCCTGACTATTGCTGGACTGCTTTGGAACATTCGTCCTGTAGAGGGCCATGCTCTACTTACAGTTGGGCAAGAGTGGCCTCTGCTGCGCGGCTTCTGTGATGGGCCAGTTTTCCACCACCACCACCACCACCAGAAGTCGGAGGAGGAGGAGGAGGACGAGGAGGAGGACGAGGAGCAGGAGGAGAAGCAGGAGGAGGAGGAGGAGAAGGAGTATGAGGAGCAGGAGGAGGAGGAGAAGGAGGAGTATGAGGAGCAGGAGGTACAGGGGGAGGAGGTGGAGGAGGACCCCCTCCCCCTCCAACTCCTGGTGGTGGTGGTGGGAAGCAGGCCCATCCTCCTGGGTGCCGCGGGGAGGGCGCCTCCTCCACGCGCGCAGGCCCGGTGCTGGCGGGCGCCCTGCGGGCCCGCAGCTGGGCCTCGAGGTCCGCCGTCTTGCTGTTCCCAATTGGAGGGGCCCAGGGACGCACAAACAAAGACGCGCGAGTCCCAGGACTCCCCTTTTTCTGCTGCTCCCATCCTACTTGAGGACCGCATCCAAGAAAGGAGTTCGAGCACCCGGAAAAGTGCCCAAAGAGTGCCGAAGCAGCGTCGGGCGAGTCTCCCAGGACCCGACGCGTGAAGACCCTTGAGCTTTAGCATTTGTTCGGGCGCTCGAAATTCTTCCCGGTGATCAAGGCTAAAGTAGGTTGGAGCAGCATAAGACTCCCCAAATCTTCCCATGTTTTCTGGGTCGTCGTCCCCCCCCACCTCCCACAATTTCCCGCATCTTCCGGGGGATCGACGACGAACGGTGTCTGTGCTTTTGTTTCCCCTCCTGATCACTGCGGGGCCCCCGAAGGTCTCGACCCTGGACCGCCAGCGTGGCACGCCGCGTGGAGGAGAGGGGACTTTCGCTCAGGTCGGGCGTGTCCCCCCAGCAGGGGAATTTTGGGTGAATAATTTGACATGCTCAAAGCAATACCCCAAAGAAGCCCAAAAATGGTAAAACAATCGTCCCCCGACTTTTTTTTGACTGTTTCTGCATATTCCTCCTGTGAGGGACACGCCCGACTTACGTCCTGATTTTTCCAATGCGGGGTCCCCGAAAGTCTCGACCCCGGACCGCCGGCTTGGCACGCCGCGCGGAGGAGAGGGCACTTACCCGCGGCCCTGCGCGGGACGCTTTTGCGCGCGAGTGTCGGCGCTGTCGGCCACGGTTCTTTCCGTCGGTCCTGCACGCGCAAGGGCAGGGGAGCCCTCCCCCCCCCAGCAGCGGGCCCCGCACGGTAGCGGCACGGCACAGGCCTGGCGTCAGTGCCTTCTCGTCCACGCGGGTTCCCAAGACCGGCGCTTCGGCGCTTCGTCCTGGCGGGGGGCTCCGGGGGGCTTCGAACAGGCTTGGATCTCTCTGGAGAGGCCACTCTCCCCTGGCGAAGGGTCACTCCAAGGCGAACCCGAGAAGATCAGCGAGCCGTACCCGAAGACCGTGCGCACCTTGTCGGCGCGCACCAGGGGGTGGAGGGAGCGGGGAAGGCGTTCCTAGAAGAAGGCTGCTTCTTGGGAGGCGCCGGCCTTACATCTACAGAGAAGGCCCGCGCCGTCCAAGAAGCAGGGGTGTCTCCCAAGAACCCCTCCCCCCTCCCCCCTCCCCTCTTCCCGGACCTCCGGCGTCTCGATTGTTTCGAGACACGGTCCCCCGACCTCCCGACCACTTTCCACGGGACCGGGTTTCCCACCCCGAGTCGTGCTTGGACGGCCCCGAGGCCCCGCGAGAGCCCCGAGAGGCCAACAGCAGCGGAAAAACCTCCGTCCCGATTTCCCTCGAGGCGCCCGCTGTCTCTCGGCGCTTTGCGCGTGGCCGGGCACCGGCGGGGGGCCCTCGAAGTCCGCCGCGGGGTCCACGCGCGCCGTCTCCCAGCAGTCCAGATCGGCCTCGACCCGCGGTGCGGCCGCGCGCGTGGGGGGGAGCGCGCGCGGCCGCGTGGCGGGAGAAGGATCGAGGAGGACAAGGAGGACAAGGAGGAGAGGGAGGATGAGGAGGATGAGGAGCAGGAGGAGGAGGAGCAGGAGGAGGAGGGGAAGAAGGACCGAGGAGGACAGAGGGAGGAGGAGGAGGAGGAGGAGGAGGAGGAGGAGGAGCAGGAGGAGGACGAGGAGGACGCAGGACTTTCCAGAGTGCTTTCCCACACCGACGCTGTCGGGGCTCTGGGGGGCTCTGGAAGACTTCATTTTTGAGCGGCCTTCCTTACCCACCTACCAATTCTGGTAGGTGGAGTGCATTCCTGTGAGAGGCCGCTGAGGTGCCCCCTCCCTTCCACAGCCTGACACCCACACTTCACGCAGATCCAGTACGGTTCACAGAAGGCCAGCTTGTGGGATGCATGGCCGCTCCTGGTCCCCAGGGCGAACTGGGTGTGCTGCGGCTTGTTGGGTGGCCGACCTGGGACCTCTCTGGAAAGCCAGACATTCATTACTTGCTTACAGGATAGCTTGCTGACAGAACCACGGCAGTCGAGACAGCTCCACCTGGCTTTGAGGTCACAGAGGGTGTGGGTCAAGTGCTACTGGGCGAGGGCTCAGGCGGAAGGCTGAGATCTCCCCTTCTCCTAACATAGTTTTAGCGCTGCATCTGTTTCACAATGGTGGGCAACGGGGGATTTTGCCTTGTTTCGGGTCACGGGATCCTCACAATTCGATCGGGCTCGAAAAATGCAGCTGAAAGAGTGGATCTACGGCTGCGGTCGTGGTTTGTTGCGCGATGTTAGAATTGCTTGCAATGTACCGTCTGAGGGGGAGAATGAGAATCCATATCTGAACCATATCTGACATCCTACCCCTTCAGCCCATCCCTTCCCATTTCGCTGTGCTTTTTCTCAATCCGCCGACGCGTGTCGTAGAGGACCTGGAACTCCCAAAGTGGACCCCTATATGTTTCTGCGCCATCGGAAATAAGGGGAGTTGAGTACCTTGACGGCGGCGGTGGCGGATGAGGAGGATGAGCAGAAGAGGAAGGAGAAAGATGAGGAAGGAGGAGGACGAGGACGAACAGCAGCAGGAGCTGAAGTGGAAGGAACGGCAGAAGCAGGACAACCAGGGAAAGGCGCAGGGGCAATCAGGGGGGCGACAACGAGGAAAAAGGACTGGCGTCCAGAAATGTGGCTCGCGCTGAGGCGAGAGCGCCATGGTGAACGATGGGAGCAACGCGCCGATCCGAAAATGAGGCCAGCGCTGCAGCGGGAACACGAAACACTATTGGAAAAAGAACCACCGGAAACATCACGTTGGTCCAGTCCTGTGAACGAGGCAAGAATATGCGGAGGGGGTCGAGCATCTGCACTCAGAATGTGTAATTCTGGAGAGGGGAGGGGAGAGGAGAGGGGGCAGGATGGGAGGGGCGAGGAGGGGAGAGAGACGGGAGGGAAGGGGAGAGGCGGCGAGGGGAGGCGAGCGAGAGGAGGGATTCAACCAGAGGGACGGGAGAGGAGGGCGAGGAGAGAGTCGAGGCGGAGAGGGAAGGGGAAAGGAGGGGAGAGGAGGCATGCTGCTGCCCACGCGGCAAAGATCACCAGACTCCAGCGTCGTCAGTGAGAGCCGACACCAGCACCGGCAGCCCTGGGAAGCCAGCGGCCCATGAACTGTCGGGCAGTGCCGTGCCCCGTCCTCTTCTCTCCAGGGGGGGGGGGGCTGACCGTCTGTTGGCTGGGATCCCATGCAGCAGCGCCGCAGAACGGCCCTGTCCAGAGGGGCTCTCTCGGCGAGTCGGCAGCTGCCGGCGGGGGCCCTTCAGGTCCCGAGGACGCGGGAACCCCGGCACAAGGAGGAGGAGCAGGAGGACGAGGACGAGGAGGAGGAGGAGGAGGAGGAGGAGGCTGAGAAGGAGGAGGAGGAGGAGGAGGAGGAGGAGGAGGAGGAGGAGGACGACGAGGAGGAGGAGGAGGAGGAGGAGGAGGAGGAGGAGGACGAGGAGGTCGAGGAGGACGAGGAAGAGGAGCAGGACGTCGACGAGGAGCTTCCGCGCCCACTCTGGCTTCCATGGCTGCCCGCATTGCCTCTGGGAGGGGCCTCCCGTGCCGGGTGCGAGACGCCCACGACTTCGGGAAGGGGTGCTCGGCCCCCGTTCCTGGAGCGGCCCTGGCAGGCCACCTCCGAGTGGCGGACATCTTCGGCCAGCTCTTCGGCCCGGCCCCTCCCGGGGCTCCAGAGGCCCTGGGGGTGGAATCGAACACGAGAGGGGGTCCCATTTTGTCCTCCTCCACCCTTCAAGAAAGCACGGGGACGAGGCGGATGGAGGGAGGGAGGGAGGGAACGAGGGAGGGAGGGACGAGGAGCAGGAGGAGGTAGGACGGGCGGTGGAGGACCAGGAAGAGGAGGCCCAGGAGGCAAGACGAGGATGAGGAGGGAGGGCGCAGAGGAGGAGCAGGAGGAGAGGAGGGCGGAAGCGCGAGGACGAGGGGGCAAAGGGGCGAAGGGCGGAGGGCAGCGAAGGAGGGAGGAGGGAGGGAGGCAGGCAGCGAGGGAGGCAGCGAGGACGAGGACGAGGCCGAGGAGGCCCCAGCTCGGGCCTCCGCCGCCATGCGCCCTCGCGGGCCCCGCGCGCGCCGAACCCCCCCGCCCGCGTGGCCGGGCCGCCGCTGCCGCGCGTGCACCCCCGGCCGCCGCGCCGGCACGCCGCGGGCCGCGCCCGCGAGCACGCCGGCGAAGGGCGCCGCGCGGCTCTCCGATCCCGGCGCCGGCCTCTCGGCTGGCCCTCTAGGAGGAGGAGGGGGAGGAGGAGGAGGAGGAGGGGGTGGAGGAGGAGGAGGAGGGGGGGGAGGGGGGAGGAGGAGGAGGGGGCGGAGGGGGAGGAGGGGAGGAGGAGGAGGAGGAGGAGGAGGAGGAGGGGGGATGGGAGGAGGAGGAGGAGGAGGAGGAGGAGGAGACGACGACGACGACGCCGATGACGACGAGGACGACGACGACGACGACGACGCCGACGGCGGCGTCGGCGTCGACGACGAGAGCGTCGACGGCGGCGGCGGCGGCGGCAGGAGCGACGGCGACGACGACGACGACCACCTTCGGGTGACCCCAAAATGGGGTCCAGCTGAAAAAGGGGGGTGGGCAATTGTATTGCGAATGTACTGCGCCGGAGAATTGTGTATTGCGTCGGATTGAAAGCAATGTGTATATATATATAAACATATATATATATATATGTATATATTGATTGCACGCGAAAAGCCAGCAACACTTTTGCGCCCCGGAACGTATTGCACGCCCTAAATGCATTGCGACCCCACAAATCTATTGCACCAAATCTGTTGCACGTCGCTGGACCCCCTTTTGGGTCAACCCGACGCCTCTGTCGTCCGGCCCCTCGGCTGCAGCTTCCCTGGCTGGCTTCGCTTCTTGCTCCCTTCGCGCCACGTGTGAGGAGCAGCGCCAGCAGCCGCCGGCGCCGGACGCGGGAGGGAGGGCGGGCCCCGGATATGTATGTATGTATATATCATGTATATACTTATATGTTTATATATACATATATATATTGATGTATATATATATATATATGTATACCCGGCGGCTTCGATCCCGGCGCTCTCCCTATAAAGCCTGGGCCTCCGGCGCCAGGATCGTGCTCCAGCCGGGCGTCCGGCTTCGGCCAGGGCCTCTCTTTATGGGCCCGCCGTCAGGGCCCCGCGGGGCCGCGAGAGACGGGCCGCGGGCGACAAACTTGTGCCCCGGGCATGGGGTCGGGGCCTCTCTGGCCCAGGTCCCCGACGAGCAGGACATGTCTCGACCCCCATCCCAGGCGGCGTTGGGCTTTCGAATGGGCCAGAAATGGTGGGACCAACCCTCGGATGTACGCGGGGGGGGGGGGGCGTCCATCCTCGGCAGGGGTGCATCCGAGTCACCCCCCCGGGGGTTTATCCCAAAGTTGGGCTTCTTTTCTGAGGGGTCAACGTGTTCGGGAGGAACTCGGGCACTGGGGAACCATCGCCTGTGACCGACGGCTTCGATCCCAGCGCTTGTCCTACACGAGATCTGGGCGTGGGCGCCCGGTTCCGGTAGACAACTGGCGCAGAGGGCCGGCCCCGGGCTCTGATCATTACTTTTTGCGATGTCTCAAAAATTGTTCGCGGCGCCGGCTCTCAGTGAGAGAGAGAGAGGGAGGGAGAGAGAGAGAGACAAGCAGGAATGCGTCAGAGTCGCCCGAACGCAAACGCCAGACGAAACGGAGGGACGGGGAGGGGCTGACAACCGACCGCCATCGCGGTGGCCTGCCCTCCCTCGTCCTCGTGATACGGCGCTTCTGCACCGCCAGCGTCGGGGGGGGGGGCCCGAGGCAGATCTCAAACGATAGGAGTTTTCCGAGCGGTGTTGCTCGATGTCGGCCTCCGGGCCCGTTGTCGGGCCCCAGAGGGGGCCCTCCGGGGCGACGAGCGACCGCCGGGGGCAAGGGGTCGGACTCTGGGGCCGCTCAGTGCACAAGCTCACATCGTTGGACGTCTGGGTGCCCGACGGCTCCGATCCCGGCGCTTGCCTAATCAGGTTGTGGCACCGGGACGATGACAATCGAGTTTGATTGGAGAAGACGCGCGAGAGGACACAAGACCCCCTCAGAGGGGCAACCTTGCCATAGGAGTGTAGGAGGCATGGGTCGCGAAACACAGGACACCAGAGCACCCTTGATTCGGCAGGGACGACCTGCCAGTCACACTCGACTATACAAGGCACCGGTTATGATGTCCAGGGGGAGGGCAAGAACAGAACGTTCTCCTCCCTCGTGAGCTGCTGGGGGTGCTTTACTTCCGAGCTGTATGGCCTGCCCCTGCCCCTGGAAACTCCCTGCGCCGGGGATCTGCCGGGCCTAGATTCCAGACTGCTTCAATCCCGGCGTTACATGGCGTTTTCAACCCGGGTGCTGTTCCTCCACTTGGCCCTCCGAGGTCTGC